GCCACAGCAGAAAGTGGTCCCATGGTATGTGGGCCGCAAATATATTCATTGTGGGCCGCATGAGACCAGTGGGCCGCAAGTTTGACATGCTTGCTGTAGGCTTATTGTATGATTGTAAGTGCATATTTAAAATAAAAAAAAAAAACTGACACTTTTCTAATACACCTTAGCAATAATTTTAATTGTGGTAATTGCTGCAAATGTGTCCCAACGCTACTCTAACTTCTGATTGGACACAATTCATCAGTATTGGTGCCTTTGCAAAAGGACCGGAGCTGCAGTGAGGAGTTTGCCGTGGTGGCTTAGATAAGAGATTATCATTGTTTCAAACCTTGTTTTAATGGTGAAATGAAGAGATGGACAGTAATATAATAATGGGAAAGGAATATGGTAATTGCGCACACAGTAGATGATATTTCCGTATTAAGTGGATAATCCCTAGATTCTGTAAGTATAAAAAACCATTATAGGTTTTTTTTATATTTACAGAATCTAGGGATTATCCAGTTAATAAGAAAATATAATCTACTGTGTGTGCAATTACCATATTCCTTTCCCATTTCTATATGTAAGTGTTTTTTAGTGACTATACACGTTGGTGATTTTCTTGTATGCTGCACTGGTTTTATTTGAGATATTTTATTTGTTTTTAGCACCATCTTTTTATCTCTCTATTTTCATTTATTGAGTAATATAACAATGAATATATATATAAAAGAAAAAACAATTTAGGAAAAATTGACAAAATAAATAATACTCTGGTCAACAAATTTGGCATTCATTAACATATTGGTGTCATTTTTCTAAAATGTTTCCAATAAATCCAAAGTTTTATAATTAAAGAAACACTTTGGACCCTAGAGCACTCCAGCTTGCTGAGATGCTTCATGTGTGAAGATTTCAGTACAAATGGTTACTTTTATAAATTATACTGATTACACAACCCGCCTGGCAACCAGACAACCTGTCCTGTAATTTCCTGGTTTGGTTAGCTTAGTAGAGCTAAACTCAAGAGGCATTAATAGCCCAGAGCACCAGCCTTGCAAAGACTTCTCACTGAGCTGCATTGGGAAGTCTGTGATTGGACAGCCACAGAAAGTCTGGGCGGTGTTAAAAGGGGTGGGCTTGCAAAGTCTACAGACAAGAGATCTGCAGCTATTACAAGCTGTTTTTAGATATACTCCTAATAAAAAAATGCTAAATTAAATGCATGCAGCTTTTTTTTTTGGTTATATCTACTAAACAGTGATTGTTTTGTATTTGGGCAGTGTCTCTTTAAAATGATTGTTGGCACTATCCATTGTGCCAGCACTGACTAAACCCTCTGTAGAGCAAAACCATACCAATAACGACATTATCACTCTTTTCAATGTTCCCTCTCTCGTACAATACTATCTTTCTTGTTATTTTCTCCGCTTCCTTACTGCCATCACTTTTTTCGCTGTCTATTCTTCTAGTCTGTCTTCTCTCTTTTTCCTTGTTATATGCGGCTTTTCTTTCTCTGCTGTGTCGTGTCTGTCTCCGTCCATTTCTGCCTCTTTAATCTCTTCCTTCTTCAGGATTCTGTAGGACAATTGAAGGTCGCTCGCAGAATGTCTCATAAAAACAACTAACAACGGAGTTCCAAATTCCAATCAATGAGCTAATTCTTCACCGCCCTGCCTGAAGTGCGGATTTGAATGGCTTACAGTAGGGTAACTCTGCATTCCCTCTGTATGAGATAGCACTCAAGAATTCTCCAGTAAAGCACTCTCATAATCCATTATAAGCATATAAAAACATAGGCAGCTGCCTGGAGAAAGCTTGATGTGCTTTTAAAAATGTTTCCCTTTTTTTTTTTTTATTGGGAGCTGTCAATTCAGCACTAGTTTAGCATATACAGTAGGCTAGGTTTTAGATTCCATTTGTTATAAACGAGATGCATATAATCAGCTTAAGGCATGCAGAAGAGGGAATCCCTATCTCTCCACCCCCCCTCCCAGAGTGTTCTCCCCCACCAGGAAATCAACCACCTCCCTCCGCATTGTGACACACTTACAAGGTCTGTCAGCCTGTCACATCAATCTCGCTTGTGTGGGAGAAGAATTGTTTTTATGTGTTTGAACATACATGTAAGAGCAAAGAAAACAGGGCAGTGTAGAGAAAGAGATGAGAGAGAGAGAGAGAGAGACAAATTATAAAAAGCTAGTTTGGCCTAAAATTTGGAGTGCCATGGTGAGCTCTCTACAATATTTAGTTTAGTAAAAAACTAATGGTCATAATAATATTTCATATTTCAGAATATTTCATAATTATAATTTTACATTTGGACATTCCTATGATACAATTTAACTACGTAATGATACATTTTAGAATATAATGTCAAACAGTGACATGGTGTTTAAAAGGTGCAACACAATTTCAAGACTAAAGGGCATTATCCATAATCATGGATTTTAAATTGTGGAAAATGTACCTGGAAATGGCAAATTATTAACACTTCATCTGTAGAAGACGTGAATCAGAAATTCAAATGTACGAGCCATGAAAATCAGGTGCCCCAACTCCAAGGAACATATTCAAAAACATTGATATTTCTAGGGGTCATTTTAACTTAACCTAAATGCTGGCCATATATAGTGGGAGTTGTCGTTCAAGAGCAAGTGCCCTTCAGATCAGACTTTCAAATACATGGGGACATCTAACAAATAACAAATGAGCATTTCAATTATACAAGTTTCAATGTGTCACTGTACTTTGCCCTATTGCTATTTGTAATGTTTTTGAAGCTGCAGGTAGACTCCTCTCCACCTAGGAAGAGGATCCCCATTCATAAAATTGGGCAGACTAGATGGGCCAAATGGTTCTTATCTGCCGTCACATTCTATGTTTCATAAATTTTCCTTTCTGGTCTGTCAGGTTTTCTTTTGCAAAACAGAGGTTTATGGGACATGTAGTTCAGTTAGCAGCCACAGATACTGATAGCAACCTTTTTAAAGCCTCGTTCCCAGTTTTGACCATATTGAAAATATAAGGGATAATTATAGAAGTGTTTATATTAATGAGCATCATTACAAGGGATTACAATACTTCGTGCAGTAATGACATGGGGTTTAATAGTCTATCCATGCAGTAGGCTCGAGAGGATTCAGGGTCACATTTAGGGAAACATATCAAGAGGATTAAATGATATTTAGGGTAAGTGAGAATTAATGTTAGAGATGTGGATTAAAAGACCACTCTAGGCATCCAGACCACTTCAGCTTAATGAAGTGGTCTGGGTGCCAGGTCCCTCTAGGATTAACCCTTTTTTAATAAACATAGCAGTTTCAGATAAACTGCTATGTTTATAAAAGGGTTAATCCAGCCTCAAGTGGCTGTCTCATTGACAGCCGCTAGAGGCGTTTGCATGCTTCTCACTGTGAAAATCCCAGTGAGAAGACGCAAGCGTCCATAGGAAAGCATTATGAATGCTTTCCTATGAGACTGGCTGCGCGCGCAGCTCCTGCCGCGCATGCGCATTCAGCCGAAGAGGAGGAGGAGAGCTGCCCGCCCGGCGCTGGAGAAAGGTGAGTGTTTAGCCCTTTCCTCTCCCCAGAGCACGGCGGGTGGAGGACCCTGAGGGTGGGGGCACCCTCGGGGCATTATAGTGCCAGGAAAATGAGTGTTTTCCTGGCACTATAGTGGTGTTTTAAGGGGGACCTAGGTTTACATGGGTACGTGCTTTCAAGTTTTTTTTTTTTTGTTTGTTTTTTTATAAAAACTAACCCAAAGCCCCACCCCTAACCCAGAGCCCCAAAAATAAAATAAACACAAAAATATTATGATGGCATTTGCCCAGGCAACCAAAATAAGTATTCTGAAAATATAGCCAATATGTTGTATTCACATATTATAGAGCCACACATTGCTCTGGAAAGACGGAGTGTGGAGGTATAATCCCAGCCCTGGTAGAGTATTTATTTGGTATATGAAGCAAAAAAAACATAAATATATAGTGCATTATAAAGTCTAATCCCTATGTGCCATCCTAGAAGGCCCGTTTCCATGCACTGAGCATTGCAAGGGAGCATAGATGGGATTCATACTGAAAACCGGAAATCCATACTTGAACACACAGAGCTCCTGCAACCCTCACTATTTAATTGTAGTTACTAATACTGGGCTGTAAAACAAAGATCTTACAGCCTTCCTCTCTCACTTGCTGAGCCCAAGTCAGGATTGTACATTGGTGATCTGGTCCTGCGTATATTGTTTTTTAATACATTATCCACATAATTTATTCATTAGTAAAGTACAGTCTAGGGTTTCCCTTTAAACATTAACATTGATGGGATGCAACCTAAAATGCAGGCAAGGAAATTTAAAGGTAATATCAGGAAATATTTGTAGATGCATGGAATATTTTTCCAGCAGACGTGGGAGAGGTCTACTGACTAGTTAGTTTACAATCAACACAATTCAAGAAAGCTTGGGATACATACAGTCCAGCACCAAGGGGGAACCACAATCAGGAATAAAGCCCGGGTTATTAAATAGGCAGTAAATAATACAGGTGACCCATTCAACGTTATATCATTAATGTAGACATTTCTAATGATAGTGAGATGATTTGTATAACGTACTATGTTTTGCTGAGAGTGGTGAGTGATGTTATGGGAAAAAGAATTGGATGTATTAAGATTAAGTTAGGTACTTACCTGGGGCACCAATACATGATGTTATATCCAAATATAAGGTGAATATAAATACAGTTAGCAAAACTCCCAAAACATTAGACAATTAAGTTATTGCTGATTCTATTCCAACTCTGAGACACTTTATATTCAGATAAAGAAAAATATAATCCGGAAAAATCCCCAGAAAGGAAGCATTGAGGGGGGGGGGGGATTAATTGCCTCACAAGGAGGTCCAAAGTTCAGTGAAAAAAATGTAAAGTAATAAACAGAACTTCATGGTAGACAAACAAACTAAAACCTTTATTATACAAACATAGAATAATTAACAATAGTTAACATAACCCTTTTTATACTGCAGCACAGAGTGTGAAAGATCTGTTCTCTGAAACAGCACAAAAACAAAACCACAAATACAAAATATTTAAATTATTCTTGGGGTCATTAGGTACTCTTTAACAAGAGGGGACCTAGATTGGACTAATTAAAATAACAAGAGTTCGTCTGTTACTCTATAGGAACTCTTGAAGACAATATAGTGCAGTTTCTTACTGCATGTTGACGCAACAAACGGACCCCCATAATCCCTGATTGATATAGGGCTTTCATTTAGTAGCCCCCATGTCCTATATACTTATGTGTGGGGAAGCAAAGGGTATTCCACCAGCTAAATGTTGCTACTCCTTTCCTTACACTGTGTGTGTTGGAAGAAAAATAACAAGTTTATGTTTGGATGGGGAGGTCTCCAACGCACTGGGCCACAACTGACAGAACTAGGGAATGTGCAGACCCCAATATCCTTGGGTCAGGGGATTCTTTGAACCACCTATTCCTAATACACCAACTGCCACTAGCCGACTACATGCTTAATGGATGACCAGTTCACTGGTCCTAAGTGTTTAACTTGTTCAGGCCTACAATTCGGTGTAGTCTTTGTTATTTTGACATGTCACTAGTCTGCAAATGGTTGTAGCTAGCCAATCACAATACATCACTTGTTTTTCATTCCTGCAAGGGGTGACCCAGTGACATCATCAGTCAGGAATCCTCAATATAGTAGTCTGTTTGTGGGAGTTTCTGGATGACAGTACTATTTTAAGATGTCTTCCATTGCCTGCAGAAAAAATAATAATTTGCATACTAGATTCGTATTCCCACTTCCTGATAATTATCCTTTGAAGAGAAACATTAAGAGGGTAATTCGCTATAGTCATGATGTTGTCAGTATGCCAGTGTCGATGAAAATGCCTAAATTCTGACCGGAATAGCAATTTGCATATTTACTTAACCCATTTCTGATCTATTTAGCTGCATCTGTATTATTTCGCCAGAGGCATTCAGGGGGATATAAAATCAGTCCTTTCGCATTTAAAGCCCATAAAAGGTATCTGATTCGGAATATGTACAATGCACTAATTAATGAAGAAAAATGAAAAGTTATGCACTTTGGGGTAAAGAATGCACAAACAACTTACACCCTAAATGTTAGTGAATTAGGGATAACCACACACGAGAAGGATTTGGGAATTGTTACATACAACAAACTGGTCAACAATGTGTAATGTCAATCAGCAGTTCCGAAGGCCGGTAAGGTATTGCCATGCATAAAAAGGCCTAATTCTATGGATGAAAATATAATTTAGCCTCTTTATAAATCACTGGTAAGACCACACTTTGAATATGAGATGCAATTTTGAGTACTTTTTCTAAACAAAGGTTATTATGGCACAAGAAAAAGTTCAGTGGCAAAAACATATTAGTTGTGATGAAAGGTTAAATTTAAATCTCTCATTTAGAAAAACAGGGGATATGATAGCATTATACAAATACATGCAGGGCCGATACAAATCATTGTCTTGAAAATATTCATAAACAGGGCTATACATAGGACACAAGGTCACGCATGTAGACTGGAAGAAAGGAGATTTCATCTAAGGCAAAGGAAAGGATTTTTACAGTAAGAACAATAAGGATGTGGAATTCTCTGCCTGAAGAGGTGGTTTTATTAGAGTCTGTATGTTTAAACAGCAACTGGATGAATACTTGCAAAAACCTAATACTCAGGGATATCATTTTTAATTTGTGGGGTAATAACTTCAAGATCCAAGGAGTGGAAGCATATCTACTAAACATTGAGGGGCCAGTTTCTGCTCATTGTAACTGAAGCCTGGTGACTGGGCAGTGTTTTTTGCCCAGTCACTAGAAAGGCCACATTTCATAGGGATGGGCTGAAAAATAACGAGGTGGGATCTAGTTCCCCCTGGGTCCAAAGGGATTACCACTGGGTGGAGGCTTTTGAAGAAACAATGGAGTGGACAGGTCAGCATGTTGGGGCTATTAAGTAAAACTAAATGGGGGGGGGGTCTTCTAATGCCCCCCTTGCCCTCAATTATGTTTATGGGTGGGTCTACTCTTTAAACAGTTGGAACCTAGTGTCTCATCAGCCTCCACCCAATAGGTTGCAGTTGAGGGCTATTAATGTTATAATAATACCTTGGACCAAATGTTTCCCCCAGCCCCCACCCATAGGAGGTAGGTGGGGGCTATTTATTTTATAATACCAGGGGAACCTAATGTCCCCCCAGCATCCAACCTGCAAGCAGTGGGTGGGGGATAATAATAAAATAAGCAGGGGGTAACACCCAACCAGCCCTTCTCCCCAGGGTGTCTAAGGGTTCACTAAACGGCAATTTGAATGATAAAAATGTCAATGACAAAATTTAGACTAAAGTGGTTAATTTGAAATAAATCTCCACCTTGGCTATATTCATAACTTGGCTATAATTAGTTTAAAGTTATTTATTTTTAGCTATTTGGTTTTCAAATCACTACCGTTCGCTGTTTAGTGACTATATTATCCTTCTATTAATGTGATTCTTACAAAGTGTAGGTATTTATGTATAATGTAAACTATGTTCTTGTATAATTTAATAACTACAGGAAAAGAAAAACAGTATGTGCTGTGCTTATTGCTGGATTGCATATCCCATCTTACTCCTAACACTGAGCATACTAAAATATATGTTTCATTTGTAACACATTTTCTTGAAGGCTCTTAAAAAATCAGATTGGCTTACTGATTTTTGGGATTTGTTTTAGTTGATACTGTAAGCATTTGCAGGTGCTTTATGAATATTTGTGTTTGTAATATATATATGTGTGTGTGTGTGTGTGTGTTTTTTATTACAGTGAAATAATATTAATATAATATTATGTGCGTTTTAGAATCCATACTGCATGGATGATGTCACCCATAATTCCCCAAAATTTGTCATTACCGTGCAGTCTGTGAGACCCTTATCTCGGGTGGACTGAGAGATACATGTCCTAATCTGCGCAGTGTTAGTGGAAATAAGGCTGTATTGATGCTATTTTAATAAGGGCAGCTGAAAAGGATGCCTCTCAGGACTGTAACTCCCATTCTTCTCAGGCAGTACGGAGACATGTATGCAATTACAGTAATATTCACATTTACCAAATACACTAACCTAACACACTACACTACCCATTAACCCCTGCATTACCCAAACACACTAAACACATTAGCCCTTACATTACCCGAACACACTAAACACATTAACCCTTACATTACCCGAACACACTACACTACATCAGAAGACACTAAATAAAAAAATTAACCCCTACAATACCCAAACACACTAAACACATTAACCTTTACATTACCAGATCACACTGTACTATCCCTACACATAACCCCCCACATTAGCAGGGTTAATGCTATTTAAGGGTTCTTTAAAATGTAACCCTTTAAACCCTTTGATCTTGTGGTTTATCAAGATGCCTCCAGAAGCCCTGGAAGTCATTATTCTCCCACAATACAAGGTTCACTGTTACGTATAGATATACACTAGCTGTATAGTTGTAGAATTCATAGGTTACATAGTTACATAGCTGAAAAGAGACTTGCGTCCATCAAGTTCAGCCTTCCTCGCATATGTAATTGCTGGCAGAAAACCTAGTCTGAAGTGCTTCCAATTTTGCAACAAACTAGGAAAAAAATTCCTTCTTGACCCCAAAATAGCAGTCAGATATCTCCTTGGATCAAGCAGCTATTACCCCACTAATTAGAAATGATATCCCTGTATGTTATGTTTCTGCAAGTATTTTATCCAATTGCAGTTTAAACCTCTGTATAGACTGACAAAACCACCTCTTCAGGCAGAGAATTCCATATCCTTATTGCTCTTACTGTAAAAAAACCTTTTCTTTGCCTTAGATGAAATCTCCTTTCTTGCAGCCTAAATGTGTGACCTTGTGTCCTATGTATAGCCCTGTTTATGAATAGATTGCCAGATAATGGTTTGTACTGGCACCATTTTTTCATTGCATATTGCTGCCTAATTTGTTGTCAAATTCCCAAATCCTTCTTGTGTATGGTTATCCCTAGTAGTCTCCCATTTTGGGTGTAAATTGCTTGTGCATTCTTAACCCCAAAGTGCATAACTTTGCATTTCTCTACATTAAATTTAATCTGCCATTTTAGTGCCCAGTCCCCCAATCTATGTAAATCCCTCTGCAGCAAAGCAATATCCTGTTCACATTTTTACTTTACAAAGTTTTTTTGTCATCTGCAAACACTGAAACATGGATTTCAATGTCTAATTATGTATATGCTGTTTTTATACTGCGAGTGAAAGACTTATAGAAAAACAGTTAAAATGAAATGTACAAAATATATGGACCCCTGTGCTGTTTTACCAAAATGTTCTGCTGTTTTTTGTTTTTTTTCTCTTACCTTTTCTTTTTTGCTCATAAAATTGTACACATATACGCACAGCCATGTACAAGGGTGACACAGCATTTATCAGACTTTATACTATTCTGTGCAAGAATAAGGGGAAAGTGTTAGACACACATACACATACACATACACACACACACACACACACACACACACACACATTCATTAACAGATTAATACATAAATAGGAGGAATACAGAAAGATAGCTACATATAGATGTCCTTTCACATCAGCACAATTACACCCACACCAACCCATTCATTGCTTCCCCCCCACACACAGTCACACCTGTACTCACATACAAGACACACAGGAGCCCCCACTCTCTCTGTCACAGTGAGCAGGTATCTGCTCAGACACATGGGATTTAATTATTACTGCCACACAGTCATACTCCTGCAAACACCTTCTGACACTTGTAGATGCAGACACTCATTTGCCCACAGACTCTCACACTTACCCCCACACTCCCTGCACTTACACTCACCTTCAAGAAGGTAACAGCTGCAATAAAAGGGGAGGGAGCATCTGAGTGGGAAGTGAGGGGGGGGGGAGGACGGATACCCAGCGCTGATTGGCTTGGAGGCACCTAAAGGTGTGGTCTATGTGACTGCAGCATGTGAAGGACCAACTGTGTGAGAGGGGGGAGAGAGAGAGGGAGCGGGAGGGATGTGAGAGAGCAGCAGCCTCCCTGAGCACAGAGCTGAGTCCTGTTCATCATCAGCTGCCTCTACCTCTCCTCCTCTCTTTTCTCTCTCTTTTCCCCTCTTTATTTTTTGTCTCTCTTTCTTTCTCCTTACCACGTCTCTGGGGCTCAGGTCTCTGTCACCCCTTTCCCTGCGGAGGATTCAGGTCACATCTGTTCGCTGCCTGAGAACAAGACATGGGGGTGAGTATAGATCCTGAGGGTCACATTTTCATTTTTTTAAAATCCCTGTTTAAATGTGTGGGAGGCCATCATTCCTATTCAGTCTTATCTGCAGCATGGGCGATGTCCATAGACCAGGACAGGAGCTAATCCCAGCCTGTTCACTGCTCTGTACATCCCCTCAATGCTGAATTGCACCCCCCATGCTCTGTGTGTTTAATACCCCATGGCTATCCCTGGTGCTGAAAAGCTGCACGCACCATATACTCACACTGATTAATGCTGTGTACCTGTCCATGGTGCTGAATTGACTCAATGCATTGATTGATGCTGTGTACATGTCCATGGTAGTGAATTGACTATCTGTACACACTGATTGCTGTGTGCATGTTCATGGTTCTGCATTGACTCCATGTACAGCATGTTCAGTGCTGTAGGAAGGGATGTTCATGGAGTGGAGTGTAGAATGTTTGTTCTAGATTAGAATGTGTCTCAGTGTTCTATTGATCATGTATCCAGTGTCCTTCCCTGGTATGATACATTTATATGTGTAGATCTCTCTGCCTCTAAGGGATGCATAAGAAACCCATTGTTCTGCAGTCCTGCTTGGGAGAGAAGGGGTTAAAACTCCCAGGGTGACTTTGCTTGTGGATAATAGTTGTGCGCTGCGCATTGCGGTGTCTTTCCGTCTGTCTGTCACCATACAAGGCAAAGGGAGGGCTGGAAAGGAAATACAGAAATGGGATGAGATCATGTATTCTTGAGAGAGTAACACACAGAGAGAGGAGGAGAAAGAGAGAGAGAGCAACAGAGAGAAAGAGAGAAAAAATCCAGAGAGAGAGCAGAATGGAAAAGGAGACATGATGACAATTGTGGAGATGTAGAGATTAGGAGGGTGAAAGAGAGAGGGGCAGGCAGAGACATGTGATGACTCAAAAGCCGGTAATGGATCAGGAGAGATAAGTTAAAAGAGAACTAATGCAATCTGTTTCCTAACCAGTCACACCCGGCATGTTAATTGCTCTCTCTCTCTCTGGCAGTGAATAGGTTAAACATAGCAAAAGGCACCAAATGTAACCCGGTAGACAGGAATATATATGGAGGTAAATCTTTTTTTTTTTTTTTCTTTTTTTCTTTTTTTTTTAAATGAGGCTGCACTGTGAGAAGGGCACCTCAAGGTCAGAGAGTGGTTTGCTGCAGTGGGAATCTGCAGAGCAGCAATGCATCCAGCAAGCATAGACCATTCTCTCGTTGCTTCATCTCTGTTGTGCATGCAAGGGTTAATGTTATAATTAATTCTCCAGGGGTTTTCATATTGGAGCAAACAGTCCCATTGCTGCTAGAACTGTATGCAGAGAATTGCATTTTCTGTCTGTACTATAGCAGATGATGAATAAAATTACTGTAATTAATCAATTTTTCTTATTATTCGGTATAGCTTCTGATATATCATACTTCTTTTTACAAAGTACTGTTTGTAAAGCAAGTGAAAACTGGTGTCTCCCAGTGGGGGAAAGGTTAAAAACCAGCCAATTGAAAAATTCTGATGAGAAGATAGAGAAATTAAATATACAAAAATGCAAAATGATTAAACAATTTGCTGGAATTACTAACTGTTGGAGAGATCTGTTGAGCATTGGTCAGTTAACCCCTACTTTGCTGGTTGTCTGCAAGGGATGGTAAAGAGGCTTGTTAACCAAGCTCTGCTTTTCAGTAATGGAGAAATGGATGCATCAAGACAGCAATTTTATTTAACTGCTTAATAAAGTGCTTTGGTTCTCAAGGGCATGAACATACATTGTATAGAACCACCAGTAGTTGGCAGTTGCTCAGAGAGACTGCATTCAATGCATTAAAGGCTCAGGAGCCCATAATGTCATTTCTCAAGGTCATAGTGTGTGCCCACTCATACTCATGTAGTGCACGCCCCTCACTCATAGACACACATTCACTCAGCTACAACCCCTTGCTCACGCACATTAATTTACAGACACATTAACTAAAATATAATACTATCTCACATGTGTGCACTGTATGTGCAAATATGTACTCCTATAAGCATAATCCACCATATTTAGAATATTACATGGATTTAAGGGCAAGCACAATCTTTAATGACCGACAAATCAAGTATATGGGTGTCTTGGCATTTATGTAAGGCATTAACAGGCACATGTTAAAAAAGCCTCTAACCCAGGAGAGAGTGCTGGGGATGTAGAGGAGGGGGTAGGGGGAGGGAGTGACATATGGCAGGGATCTCACTGTGGATAATCTCCATGTTAGCATAAAGGAGGGGTTTGATTCAATTCTGTATTTTGCATGTGGCAAAAGATCAAAGATATCAGATGTAACCTTGATAAAAGAGAAAGTTAAAAAGAGATGAGATAAATAGGGTAGGTTAATAAAGGCCTTGGAATGATGGGATGGGTTAATGAGGGAGGGGGCAGAAAAAAAATTGGGAAAGGAAAGAGACAGGAAATTGCTGAAGGAAGGGGTATGAGACAGTGATAGGTAACCTTGGATTTCTGAATGACTCGGGACTACATTTCCCATGATGCCTGACAATCTTAAAGATTGTCTAAGCATCATGGGTAATACAGTTCTGAAAACCCTGGCATGAAAAAGCTAGATGATTGAAAAAGACTGATTAAAATAGAAAATAATATATTGGTAATGGAGATTAGGCAGTAAGATGCAGAGAAGGGTGGATGTAAGTGATATATAGACGGAGAAGGGAAGGACGAGGAGACACAGGCGATAAGCTGTGCATGGCAATCTCATTAAATTAAATGAATAATAAGGACGAGATGGCTAGAAAGAATGCATATATGAGGCTCATGGAAAATGACAAATTAAATGTGTGTTAAAATGATATGGAAAAGACAATAAATTAGGAAGGAAAACTTAGGAGACAAAATGGAGGATGAAAGGAATAAAAGGGAGAGGTTTAGAGAGACTGAAAGAGAACGATAATTAATGTTTGATGTAAAAAGGATCACATAGCGGAGAGTGTGGGAGAGAGACATTCGTATAAATCTTTAAAAATATATATATATGTTTTTTAAAAGAGAGAGATTTAGAGAGGAAAATGGATGAATGAAGGGAATGAATGTCTTTGAGTGGATCCCAAGATGGCTGCTCATACTGAATCTCTGTAGGACTTGTATCAGGAGGGACTTTGGTATTAACACACTTGGTGCTGGAACTGATACTGATGCAATGTAGGGATATAAAAGACAAATACCCCACCCAACGAACGTTGCCAACTGTTCACATTATGTAATCAGCTCTCTGAATGAGAGTAGTTTTAAAGCTACAGTCTTTATGCATTTATTGCAAATTTACAGTTCTGAGTTAACCTTTTTATCCATTGTTTGGAACCGAAAGCTAACATACATATGATGTAATGTGGAAAAAGGATCTAACTTGTGCCTCATGCTCACCACTCAAACTTATTTATAGAGTGTTATTCACTATCAGAAAATGATAATGAAGTGCAAAATTAAGGCTAAAATAGTCAAACTGAGCCTTTTTTTTTTTTTTTTTTGCATTAGCCATTGTTGCCATTTGGTTATCAATTCACTTCAGTTCTGTATTTAGTGAATACAAAACCTCATTGATTTTGTTTCATACAATTGATTTAATGAACTTTGTGAATGTGATATCTCATATACAACAACCAAAGCTCACGTTTGTTAACAATTTGTGTGTTGGCGGGCTGGTATTCGGAAATTAGGGCGTCCCAGGTCCTCTAACCAGCCTAGTGGCTGAGAGTGAGAGGGGTTGTAATCCAGCAGTGGTAATAAGCAACTGTTGTAATCCGAAATCCAATATTTTGACAGCTTTTGATTTGCTCATGTGTTTATTAAACCATCACATTTATTGTACAGATGCAACAAAGTCCTTGACGCAAGGCAATATCATTTTTTGTTTAACTGTCAGATGTCAGAAATCCTTATGGCTTGGGCAGGCCTCACTGAGCAGAAGTACTGTGCAATTCCAATAGAGAGATAAACAGACCACAAGACAATAGCCATTATTACACATTATATAGCAGGCACAGGCCATAAATTAACCGCTCTGCCAATGGCTGAAGAATTGCAGCTGCTGTAAAGCGACATAAAGAAAGATGGATGGTATTTTTGGGCCAGACTTTAAATCACTGTTCACCTTCCCAAAGTCATGGACCACAATGCATTGTGCTTTTTAAAAAAAAAAAAAAAGTATCACGAGATCTGGCAGCAGCCATCTTGGATTCTCAATACATGTGATCATTAAAGATGTCTTTTCTTCATTAATCCATTCATGCATGGTGTCTAGAGTAGTAAATTGTGGGAGATAAATAAATTTGGGTAACTCTTGCATTAACATTCTCATGAACCATCTGTCAAGGGTGACTTTCAAATAAGAACAGTCTATATATTTTACTTCTTACTAATTATTTATACATGCAATATGAATATATAAAGGATTTAAATTGCGGTGTCATTATCAACCTATTGCTCCTGTAACATTTTGTAATTGCCTAATTTATTGTTTAATGTCCCCCTTTTATAATATTGAATGCGCTGCGGAATAAGTTGGCGCTATAAAAATGACAATAATAATTGATCAGTTAGTTTTAGCGTATCAAAATGTATAAGCACACACACACATTGTGATCTGCCTGTTGTTGTAACAGCAGGGCACTTTTTAGAATACTATAGTGTTTAGTGATCTGTATGTAATGCATAGTTCACCACCATACATTATAGAGAGGTAGGGGCCTAAGCTCAGGCAGATCCATGACATACATGCGCTTACCTGCTTGGGATTAGTGGGAGTTACAGTTTTGAGTGGTAGCTGCCACCTTTTATACCTCTGCTGCACCAAATTAATATTGGCACCCGAAATAACTGTCTTATTATTATTATTATTATTATTATTATTATTATTATTGCTATTTATATAGCGCCAACAGATTCCCTAGCGCTTTACACTATTGGTAGTGTAACTCCCACTAATCATGAATTGAATCTGGATATATTTCGAAAACATCTAGATGTGCCCAAAACCCGTTCATAGCATTATTTTTACACTATACACATTTCATTATTATTAGGCTCATTTCCTAAGGTGATCATTTTTGTGAATTCAAAACGTAATTCAAACTTAAGGCCAAAAAAACCCAAGTTGAAAACATAACCGACTTTTCCTAATTCAGCTTTTTTTGGCCTAAGTTTTGAAATTCACTTTGAATTCCCAGAATATTTAATTTTAGTGAATTTATTGCATCCTCTTTTTCTCATATAAATCTCATATATAGATATAGCTAAAAATAATGAAAGCACTCAATCGTTTTGAGAAATGAAAAAAAGTGTATTCACAATCGCATAAAAAAATCAACGTTTCGGCCGACAAACTGGCATTTATCAAGATATGTATACATATACAGGTGGCATATATGCTCAGCTCTTTATATCTTTAGCTCTGCAGTCTATAATTCCATAATGCCAACTAAATCATAGATGTAGATAGATATATATATATATATACACACACACACTACAAGAACAGTCAGAAAATAATGAGTTAAACATGCATGTAAACCGTATCATGCATGTAAAATATAATACATATGGAGGCACTCTTAACATCGAGTTATATGGAATAAGGACATTGAAGGACAATAATGTAAATGTTTCTTCCACAGAATGTACTTACGTGCTTACAGAGCTTACAAAAGGTGTTTAACCCTACCTGTGGCTCGCCATGACCATACTATTATGTTTTAAACAATGCACAGAGTATTTGTGTTCAGTGTATGATATACTCTGGAGTTTATTGAATAAACCATGGATTGTAGACTAAATAGTAAAATTTAAAAAATGATCCAACTCACACAAAGTTATGCATTAAAGTGTGAATTGTCTGAAATTAAAAGTGAGATCAAAGTGAATTAATTTGTATTGTAGCAGCCTTGAGAATATGGCTGTTTGGCAGATCTTTTCAAATTTAGCTGTAGTGGCTTAAAATTGGAAGTTCACTTTCAAATAATTTGGAATTCCCTTAATGTCAGTCTTTACTCCAGTCAGCAATTTTTCTCAAGGAATGATGTTTCACAAAACCAAGAATTTCCAGAATAGCCAAACTGGAATAATAGGCTGATTGAAGATTTTTTCAAATTCCTTAATATTGGTGTAACTTTGAAATTCCCTTGTTGGCTCCCTATTATCCACAGTTAATTACAGAATAATGAAATCATGGCCTATAATTAATGGCCTATTTGAGCGTAAAATGTGCATTTCCATTGTAAATTCTCCAATTGTTGTTTTTATTAAGAAAACTAGTTTTCAAAAAGCTCATGTAATACTTTGTCTATAACTGATCATCTACTTTAGGGGTTCCAAAAAGGTAGAACTCCAGATGTTTTAAAACTACAACTTCCATGATGCTTTACTAAAGGCTGTAAAAACATCATGGTTACTGCAGTTCTACAACATCAGGGGATCTAACTTTTTGTCACTCGTGAAATTCTGTTTTAGAGAATGTCTTGTGCATTTTTATCAAGAGGTTGATTTGTTATGTATCGAAGGTCTATTATCAGTTTCTACATGAGTCCAATCCGTAAGCAGAGGATTTTGTAGCTGGTCCAAAATTTGTCTTGGTAGTAAGAGATCAGGAGTATTCTGGGAAAGAACAGTTGATTAGTGTATTTTATGAAGAATCATACGTTGTCTCAATATATCAGTTTAGATATAAAGAAGGTATCAATAGAAAGAGTTCTATGAAGAGGTTATGTGCAGTTATAGGAGGCATTATATGGAGGGTAATTTGGAGTAATAGGAGGAGTTATAGGGAGAATTATATGGAGTAATAAAGGAGTTATAGGGAAAGGTTACATGGAGTTATAGGAGGATTATACACTGATCAGCCACAACATTAAAACCATCTGCCTGATATTGTGTAGATTCCCATCATGCTGCCAAAACAGCTGAGTCTTGAGGTATATACTCCATAAGACTTCTGAACATGTCCTATGGTATATGACACCAAGACATTCGCAGCAGATCCTTTGAGTCCAGCAAGTTGCGAGGTGGGGTCTCAATGGATCATATTTGATGTTCCAGCACACCCAACAGATGCTCAATAAGGTTGCGATCAGGGTAATTTGAAGGCCAAAGCTGCACCTTGAACTTTGTCATGTTGCTCAAACCATTCCTGAACAATTTTACAGTGTAGCAGGGTGCGTTATCCTTCTGAAAGAGACCAGTGTACATCATTGCCATGAATGGGTCTACTTGGTCTGCCACAATCTTTTCCATCTCTAGGTAGGTAGTATGTGTCAAAATAATGTCCACATAAATGCCAGGACCTAACCAAGGTTTCTCAGCAGAACATTGCCCAGAGCATAACAATGCCTCTGCTGGCCTGCCTTCTTCCCACTGTGCATCCCTTCCCCAGGTTCACAAAGAAAGAGAGAAATAGATAGATTGCTAGATGATGGATAGGCTTATGTATGTATGTATGTGTATATATGTATGTGTGTGTATGTATGTGTGTGTGTGTGTGTATGTATGTATATATATATATATATATATATATATATATATATATATATATATATATATATCTATCTCCTTTCTCACCCCTACGGGTAGTATCTTTGTATAGTCCTCATTCTCGTGTCCTCTTACAAAGACCTGGAAGTTTGAGGGTTCTGTGCAGTTCAAGCTGTTACTAGAACTTCACTTTGGGCAGTGAGCTTAGATGTCCACCTGGAATCTGCTGAATCCACTCCCCCAACTTGGGAGTCATAGCCCCGAGTGCTTCTATCATAACTGGGACTACTGCTGCCATCATTTTCCACATCCTTTCTAGCTGTTCATTGGGTCCCTGATATTTGCATACCAACTCAAGTTCCTTCTTCTTGATGTAATGGTCACTGGTTATTACCACATCTACCACCACTGCAGACTTCCGTTCCTTGTCTACCACCATGATTTTGGATTGGTTGGCCAGTATTTTCTTCTCTCTCTATGGATAGGAACGTCCCACAGGATCTTAGCCCTCTTATTCTCAACTAACCTGTGTGGCACCTGCCATCCAGACTTAGGCAGGTCCATTCTGTGCAGATGTTTCAGTACTCTATTTCAAAAGCTAAAAATACTCAACTGAGTGTGCAAAATGCCAGTTATAGCTTATCGCAACTTATTATAATTTACTAACTAATACACATATCTATAACAAAAATCAAGATTTATTAAATACAAATGTACCCAATTAATATTCAGTAGCCACTATAAAACGTAATATGCTCTTGGAAATATGTGGGGGTATAAGCTGAAAAAAAGTCCCCTTAATCCAGTGCGCCCAAACAAGGCTTCAGCTTGGATCCCCCAGGTCCAAAATTGTTGTGATGCCGTAGGTGTCCATGTGTTATCAGCAGTGTAAGGCTATACAAATTGTTGTGCCTCTCAGTGTATGCTGTCACTACGAACATCTTGCACCCATCTACTATGTGCTGAATTGTCTCTGAGGCTTCTTTCCACAGTCTGCACCTAGAGTCCAATCGGGAGTGGTAGACCAATGCTCCTTTGATTTGGTGCTAAGTGACTGTTCCTGTGCTACTAGGAGTAGTGTATCAGTGATGTCTTGCATAATATATATTTAGTAATATATATTATTAAACAACTCAGCTCAATAAGGAGCCCATTGCTGTGCCTCAAACCAGTATATATTAAATTATGTGTCTTAACAGCACATTAACTGGTAATGTTTTTGAGCTGTTTAGTAGAAGTCTCTGACCACGGTACAGCATGTATATTAAATATGCAGGACTTATGAAGATCCATAAAACAAACAGACCAATAAATAAAACAAATACAGTTAATCTCCTTCATTTATTTGTGTCTCCGAACAATTGTCTAAAAGTGAAATTACTCTAAGTTGGCCAACATTTTTTAATCTTGTCCACGCTACAGTTGTTAGAAACATAATGAACTTTGAGAGTTTGTGATAAGTGAAAGTTTGTTGGGAGATCTGCAATTATTATTCTTAATATTCACTATATAATCCAACAATGGAGACTTGCACAGAGGTTCATGCTGTTATTCATTAATCTGTAAATGTTCAGTATTTGTAAAGGGAATTGCACACAACTGGCCAGAGTAACCAAACTGGGAAAATAGAGAATCTCTCCGGTTCAGCTATTACAGCCCATAAAAATTGCAATTCCCCAGTCATTTATTAACAATCCCCAGTTTACAGAATACTGTGAAATTTGGAATCTGTTGGAGGTGTTTATTTTTGTCCCAGTAGGCTTGTACGATGCATCAGTTATATTAATTTTTTGGTTATGAGCTCTGGATCCTTAAGAGAATAATATTCAGCATAGATGAAGTCTTTGGTGTGCATCGGGATTGGAATGAATGTTGTAGGTTGTAATATACGTGCTGGGGGTTAGGAAACTAATTGATGTTAGGGATTGAGTTATGGCGTTCATAATTAGTATATTAGTGTTATACAGATGACTTTGCAATTAATACTGCTTGAATATGCATTGGTGGAAGCCCTACATATTGCGTCATTCATTGTATGTTAGTAGTTTTTTTTAAAAATGCGTTGAGTGTATTGGAGGGTTGTACAAGGGTTTGGAAAATCTGTGATGGTTTAAATAATATGTTGATACTTTGTTGAGTCAAACTAGTTTCTGAGAAACCTTTGTGGGTTTGTTACTGTATGATTGTGTTATAAACATGGGGATTCAATAATGTCTGTCATATGTGATGTGAATATAATTTCATGATGATCCCATGATTCAAGCCCATCTCAGTGTCAGATTTTAATATGCACCAACACAATCCATGTACATAATAGTTATTACATCAAAAACAAAAAGGCAATATTTCAGTCACCCTGGAAAGGAGGACGAAAGTCATCATTATGACCAAAATCATGCCTTTTCATTGTTTGGTATAGTAAATATCACATGCTTTATAACCTGAATTACACACCAGACCCCTATGCAAAGAGAAAGGGAGATGTAGAAAAACATATAGAGATGGTGAGTGATTGTATCCCTTGTACAGAATGTCACAGTGTCCACAGGGAAAAGACGAAGTTGGGTAGCGTTTTGGTCATAAAGATAGCACACTAATTTGCCATAAATTCAGAATCTGATGATAATGCCTATGATAATGGTAATACAATATGCTTTTGGCACATTGGTTCTGGTCAGGGAATAGTATAATGGGAATATAATATGTTGTGAGAACATGGCTATGGGTCAGAGAATGGTATTAAGGATGTGATATATTATGCATACATGAGATAATGCCAGTACTTGTTGATGGAGGCAATCATTTATTTGGGGGTGTATTTGTTCAGATTTTTGCTTGATGTCAGTGAGGTCCGGTATTGTTGGACCACGGGGCTTGGTTCATATTGCTCAGAGATTATCTATTTTTACGTTTTTGGGTTTAAGCACGTGTTGGATATTTGAGATAATATTTGTTGGGTGTAACCATTTGTGTCAGTGTTTGGCATAGACAAAATCAAATGTTTTTGTGGTTTGATTTTTTTTTTTTTGTTAAATTTTATGCTTAGCACATGCTGGATGTTGGTTAGATTATCTGTAGTCGGGTGCATGGCTTAATGTCATTACTATGGAGATATTCTCTTGATTGGCACGTGTATTGCAGGTTGATTGAATTTCAAGCAAAGAGAATTATTTTATTGCAATTTAAATGCTAAGTATTTTAGGAGACAATTCTTTGTGGTGTGAGGCATAACACAGAGAAAACAGCATGTAATTATAAGATTACAATTTTGTTCTCTGGCTGTAGTCCACAAATGGACAATGACTTTCCTGGCAACTAGGTGGTAGTTATGTCTGGAGAGAGTAGATGTATTTCAGGTGGTGGAGTTTCTGTTCAGTATTACTTGACTTCGAAGGTCAAAGTGTGGATACAGGAAATAGGGTTTAGGTGATAGAGTTCTTTCCATATATTTGAAGTTTTATTCTCATTGAATCTGTTTTGACATTTAGGTGTAAGTTTTTATTTTTTTATTTTTTTTTCTACTGAGAGGGTAGTCTATAGCAGAACAATATGGTTTGTGCTAGATGTTAAGAAGGTGATTACAATTGGGAATTTGGTTAATAGAATGATCAGATTTCCAGAAATTCTGCATCGTGTTAGCAAACTATGTGCTTTGTGTCTGTTTTATCGGTGTTCTTAATTACAACTTTTTGTCATTTTATGTCTTGGTTTCTGATGTGCCTGTCTACAAAGGTTAATGAGATGGTGGGAAACAATGCAATTTTATGATTAGACCCTGTAAATCAATTATTCAATTTAATGTTGAAAGAATAGTAGAGAGGATATACCTTCTTAATGATGTATTGTAGTATAGTGATAAAATAAATATATATATATATATATATATAATGTATCTGATTTGGAGTACAGTGGATTGTACATTTAAGTTTTTAACTTGTTTCACACACACATATATACATTTATTTTATATAATATTTTATCTGAAATTTTGAGATATATATTTTCTCAAAATGAAACACACTACTTATATATAATTTAATACATATATATATATAGTATCTGATTTGGAGTACAGTGGATTGTACATTTAAGTTTTAACTTGTTTCGAAAATATATATATATATATATATATATATATATATATATATAATTTAATATATAAGTAGTGTGTTTCATTTTGAGGAAAAAAAAAATAGATATAATAAAATAATATCAGAGTTGCACTCAGGTCTTGTGAGTGTAGATATATATATATTTTAATAATTAGGAGACTTTTAGGATTTTGAGATGTACGTGAAAGATTTATTATTTAATAGTGGGCTTGAGCTATATTTTTATAGTATCCTTGTGCATTGTAGAGAGAAATCAATGAATAAATTGTGCTGGCTATTGTCTTCCATTAGAGTCATGGGTGAAATCAGCTGTTGATTTAAGAATCGGTTCAGGTTTTGGGAAATTATTCTGCCCTAGGTAGCCTTGTTAGGTTTCTTGTCTGTCTTTACAAAACGTTTCTTTTTCAGAAAAAGTAGATTTAATGTCCATGCTGGTACCACGGGATTCAGTCAGAAATTGTATTCTTTGCTTTTGTATTTTGTTTTGTTTTTTTTATATTTAGTAGTAACGTGTATTATGTCTCTTGTAAGATGCTGCATAGCCTGGGAACATCGATGAGGAATGATTTCACATTAAGAACACGGTTTGGGGTTCTTGTTAGGTGGTCCTTTGTTGGGACATGAATTTCCATCAATAAGTATTTTGTGCTTGCTGCTAGATTTTGAGAGAAACAATTCCTTGTCAATAGTTGCGATGACGGTTTTTAACATTGGTGAAAATAGCCATAGACTTGATGTTGGAAAAGTTTTGAGAATCCTAACTTTAGTGTTTGAAAATAATAATCTCACCATAGTCCCTGCTCGTGGCATAAAAAAAAATAGGAAGCAGGGGATAGGGGTCAAGCTGAGAACATTCTGTCGTTAACCGATTCTGCACTTGATGTTGGACTTGGTGTTCTTGCAAAATTTGATATGTTTGTGTTGGTTGCTCAGAAGATAATTTTAAGTTGGAGATAGATGTTGGAGGTAGCTGTTGAAGCATAGAACACCGGAAATGTATTTACTATTAGGTTAGTTCGATGTTCTTACAAGATTGACGTAAAACACGTAGACATCGAGGGACAATAAAGTGACTATTGGATTCAGAACTTATGATCCTATACTCCTATTTTCTAGGAACTGAGGAGATAACCCTATGACGTATATACAAAGTAAATTGCGTTAAGCTGAAAGCTATAATATCAAAGTTTGGAAAATAAACAAATTGGACAATGTTTAAAGTTATATTTGGCTGATTTATAATAGATCTATAAAAGAGGACTCTGCCAAATTTGAATTTGTGCTTTTTGCATAAAAAATCTATTTAGGTTTATTTTATTTTTTTTTACTTATTCGTAAACAAATGTTTGTGGTTTCTTCCTTGTACTTTCCTTGTATTTCTTGTACAAAATAGAAGACATACTGGCAAATAACAAGATGCCTTCTCAGGACTGAAATTCCTGCAAAAGTAGTGTAAATCAAACACACAGTCTGTGGATGAATGCCTGCAAAAGCGTAATATTCAGATATAATATTTAATAGGTGGGTAACAATGATCCAAAGAGATTTAACTGTCATTCTGGGGTCAAGAAGGATTTTTTTCCCCTAGTTTTTTGTAAATTTGGAAAAAGCTCTATACTGGGTTCTTTGCCATTTTTTGGATCAACAGCAAAAACAGATGTGAAAGGCTCAACTTGATGGACGTAAGTCTCTTTTGAGCCTATGTTGACATGGACATTGTACGCAAGATGTGTCATTCAAGAAAAAAACTCTACCTAAATTACATGTAACTTATTACCATACCTATATAGCATGTATAGTCCCTGTTACATCTGCTTAGTATTAAAAAATCATGTGCAATTTAAGAATCGTGCATCGTTTTATAACTTTGGCTCTTGGTTTTTAGTTTGTCTAATTCACTAATAAACAAACCCTATGTTGGGTTCCTAAAAGTGTCGTAATGATAAATGGCATGGAATCTGTGCTGCTGTAGGTGAGGAACTGACTTTTGCAAGTATTTAATATGTATTATTACTTAAAAATCTCAAGCAACTCTACTGGGGGTGAGGATAGTTTCCGATGAGCAATTTGATCAAGGGTGCAATCTGTGATTTTTAAAGAAGTTGAAGCCGGCGCACATTTTTAGTTCCCTACTTTTTTAATGAGTCTCTGGTGCTCCTCTACCATAGGGGTGCATATGGAACCAACACGGATGAAATAAAGTATTTTGCACCTTGGGCAGAATAAACTACCGATGCCGTCAGGTCTATAGAACTCGGAATCCAAGGAGAAGTTAGTTAATCTGGCAGATCATTACCTGGTGCCAGCTCTGTCACTTTGCACCAGCTCTTCTTGTAATGTCCCTTGTCCAGACATAAATAATTTAGTAGCAGACAAATGATCACTTGCAGTACGGTAAATTGCACAGTATTGCCTTTCACAAAGTGACGGGTCACTAGTCGCCAGTTGTAGGTCCATGTATATCTGTGGAATCTCCTCATTCTCCACCTGTGATCCCTGACTGCTCCGGTGGACACGGTTCATAGGGAGTAAACTGCAGTTGCTGCAGCACTGGCTCTGCGCCAGAGGACTTTATCTCTCACTACAAATGGCTTCTCCCGCAGTGCTGCAAAGACAAGGTCACCATAGGACCATCATGAGCAAGGTTATATGTGTGACAGGGAGAGACAGAGAGAGAAAGGGGATGGGGACGATTGGTTGCAGTGGTTTTCTAACAATTAAAATCTATTTCTCATTATATTTAGTAATTCTTTGTAAAAATATGGGGACTAAATTAAACAGGTGTAAGTGCAGCAGAAGAGAGAATGAGAAAAGGAGGGAAATGGGATGAAAGGGGAAGAGAGAGACAGAAAGAGAGGGAATGAAAGAACAGAAGAGAGAGGGAGAACGAGAAAGAGAGGGCGAAGGGGTAAAGAGAGAGTGAAAGGGTGTGGGTAGTAAAGAAGAAATGAAGAGAGAGAAAAGGTGAGAGAGCAAAAGATGAAGAAAGAGGGAAGTAAAGAGTGGGGAGAAAGAGAGGGTGAGAGAGAGACAGCTAGAAAGAGAGATATTGAGAGAGACTCGGCAATAAGAGAGAAACACAGAGAAAGAAAAAGAAAATGAGTGGAAGAAGGGGAGAGAGTGAGAGTAACGAAGGAAGAAAAAGAGGGAAGGAGGGAAAGAAAAAGATGTCAAAAGCAAGAACAGGGAAAGAAAGATAGCAAGGAGAAAGAGAGGAGAAGAGATAACTGAATGAGTGAGCATAAAATTTAAAAATACATTAAATAGTGATTAATGTAACAAAGAAAAGGAAGAAGGGAGAAAAGACTGAAAGATAAAGAATAATTTAATGAGAGAAGGAAAGAAATAAAGGACAAACAGAGAAGCAAAGGAGTTAAAGGTAGACAATGATAAATAAATATATAGATTGTGTGCATTATCTGAATGGAGTGATCCCATACTGTGCGTTGGTGTCACTATCCTTGCAATTATTCCCCGTAATAAACAGGTAATAAGGCATAGGCTGCAAATTAACCTCTACACGACACAAACGCTAAACATTAACCCCTACAATATCCCACAACTAGCTGTTAAGCGCTATATTACCTTAACACTAACATTAACACGAAACCTAGAAATATAAGGTCTACAAAGGGAACATGCATACTGTATTAGGGAAATATAATGCCATTTCTGTGCTATATAGGACTACTCTGAGCAGGTTAGGGTGGAGGAGAGTTAAGGGAAATGTAATGTTAGCAGATTCAGAAAGAGGGAATCACAGAGGAGAGGGAGGGGAATCTGTCACTGCGTCTCTGCTGCCCATCCGTCCGTGGCAGGGTTTTTCGCTCAGCGCCATTTTAGAATGTTGATTCACTTGCAGAAAATGTGTCTGATCATTAACTCTTCATGAATGTGTGTTGTAACATGTTAAAAAGAGAGAGGACTTTGCTTCAATACACATTAACCCATTCACTGCCAAAATAACATACGCATTTCTACTTTCATTTTGTAGTTCAAAGCTCCACTTACCTTTCTGATCTGGAAATTTATTTTAGGCTGTCGAGAAGTGAATATCTCTGACTCATTCTATTACCGTACATCTCTGCAAGAGGCCTTAAAGGGGCACTGTGAGCACCATAACCATTATTGTAGGAGGGGATTGTAGTGCAGGGAGTATTTGGGTTTTTCTAGTGGTTCCTAAAGCTCAGACCCTGATCTACTACTTCCATAATTTAAAGGTTTCCCTTTCGCATGATCTGTACATGTGGGGAGTGTTGAGCTAACCCATCCCAGCCTATCATCGCCATCCAAGTTTGGACAACTTTGGACAGAAAATGAGGAAGTGACACTTCCTCATTACCAGGGCAGCAGCACAGGGGCTGGGTTTTGAGTGCTGGGACAGCCCCCATCCCAGTTTTTTAACACTGCTCAAAACAAATTTGTCAAAAAATAAAGGGGATGGCAACCAAAGATTCATTGTTTCATATCCACCATTATGAGATATTGAGACTATGGTACTTAATGTGTCCCGAATCTAGACATGATACAAAATGCAACTCTGGATTCTCAATTAGAAAAATGTGTCGCCCGTACAGCATTGCTGTTATGCATGATCTTATAGCAGCCAGATTTATTTACTATTCAAATATGTTAAATTTTCTATAGAATTTTGTTACAGCATGCAACAAACGTAACTACAGTAAACCAATGAAATTCCATTTCATTAGTACTACAAATCAAGGTTAGTACCAACATTTTTATTCTCACCTTATAAAAACAGGTCTAGCCCTGCATATGTGGGATAACTGATATCATTACTAATGCATGAACATTGCCCATTAAAGTTTAATTCAAGAGACCAGTTGGAGTCTTTAGCCACCATGTCAGTTTCAAGGCCTTTGCATATTTTGCAAACACTTCCTGTAGGCAGCATGCCCGCATGGTGTGCAGTTATCTTTAGAATACGAGAACAGGATATGTATTTACCTGAAGCTGATAATGTTTAGTCCAACGTCTCTGGCAGACCAAGGTCTGCTGGTGGAAGATTCTGTGCAGTGTGCTTCCCAGCTCCATAGACCGTTCGACCACAAAACCCAGAGATGGTCTGACGATTGCCTTGGTGTTCCAGGCCTGCATGTGGAGGAGAAACCACTGATGCTCGAAGCTAACCTCTGAAGTGAGAAAATCCATCTGATGAGATGACGGTCTGCTTTTGATATATTTGTAAAAAATAGTGGGCCAAACTCAGACTGAATGGAAGACAGATGAACTGGCAAGGGTAACCCTACCACCAGAACTGAATATAAAAAATGACAGTCAAGGGTTATTGTAACCAAAAGATACACACGTCCTTGAGATCTAGGTGTGCAAACCAGTCATTCCTAAGCAGTAGGTCCCACAGAAAATGGATGCCTTACATATTGATGTGTCTGTGCACTATGAACGAGTTGCGGTGATGCAAGTTTATGACTTGAATCTCCAGTTTTCTTTTTTTTACCAGGAACAGGTTGCTGAAGAAGCCACCCTCATCCTCAGTGAATTAAACGGCCCCACTGGAGAATAGTTACTGAATTTCCCAGTCGAGGGATCTCTGTTCCTCTTAGGTCTAAATTGGTAGAGGAAAGGATGCCTGAACCAGATGGAATGAAACTCTACCACATAGCCTTGCACTGCCTCTGTCAGTTCCCTCTGAGTGGTGAAGCCCCAGTTCCTTGGATCCCAATTCAGAGAGTTTGGAGTCAATACGAAGGAAGGCCATTTTGCTTCGCTCAGTGCTAAGGGCTGCATTTATATTTCCCATCAGGCAAATGAAGCTTAGGGCCTACTCTCTAATACAATTAGGGTCAAGTTGTGTATCCAGTGACAAGGCTAGGTCTGGGAAATAGAACTTCTTAGCCAATGATCTCAACAAGTCAAAGCATTTATCCTGCTTGGCCTTTAAACGCTTCTCAAATCCCTGTGTTGGATATCCTCTTGTCTGGGACATGAATACCACAACGATAGAATCGAACTCCGTAGTCTGGGCATTTGGCCCTGTGGTGATTTTGAATCTTGTTATCCAACTGCTTTCATAGCCAATACTGATCATATCTGGATAGATGTTTAATAAGGGACCATTCTGAAGATCTTGTGTGTCGAATGTACCTGAGATCAAAACTGCATTCCTAACTCTATATGTCCCTCTGCCCCTGCACATCCCCCTAGTGAATAAACGGTTAAAAAAACTTTTTTCACTTATATGATTTTAGTGCTGAGGTCTTCGGCATCTCCAACACCAGTGGTGGGGTCAACCTAATGTGCGTGAGCGGCAATGCTCATTGATTTCCTATGGGGATTTCAAAGATGCTGGACGTCCACATGCAGTGTTGTTTCATGGAGTTAGACCCGGAAGTGCCTCTAATGGTTTTCTGGTAGAATAGACTAGAAGCAGTCTTAACCTTGCAATGTAAACATTGCAGCTTCTCTGGAACTGCAATGTTTTACATTGCGGGTTTAAGGGGACAGAGGCATTGCACCCAGACCACTTCAACTAGGTGCTCTGGATGCCTATAGTGTCCCTTTAAAGGAATAAAGTTGTTCACCAAATCTAAATTAAGCAGTCATGAATCAGAATGATGTAACAGATATGAGCAATACTCTGACCTGTGCAACCATCAAGGAGCAGTAAAGAAAGAGGAGATGTTTATCTAATGCGAGCCTTTTATAGCCTCCTAATGTTTTTTTGATTGGTCAATAGTTCATGTTCTGATCTGCCTGCTATTAAAGTACAGTAAAGAGAGACTAGCACAATATGAAGTCTCCTGTCATGCAAAATTCACCTTGTTGTTTCAGCTTTCGAAGCTGCAAACCAAACAGACCAGCAAATCCACCATCCTTCTATCCATTGTTATCTCTGAGTCTCAAGGGTTTGCATTAGAGGTTGAGACAACCACTTCTTAAAATAGCAACCTTGTATATAGAGTTACACAAAAAGACAGATGCAGCACACAAATAATTGGAGATTACGAGCAGAGCTACACATATCACTTAAGATTACTGAGAGATGATCCTTGTTCATAAAAAGCTTACAGTCTGAAGACAACTGTCTATGTTGCAACAATGCTGCTTATTTCAGTTTTCCCAAACTTGTTATTTAATTGGCCAAGCACTAGTGGGCATCCTTTAAAGCAACACTTGAAGCAGTTTAACAACTTCATCTTGAAGTTGTTATAATGCCTGCAGTCCTGAAAGCTTGCAGGATGACTCAACCCTACACTTGGCACTGGAGAAATGAGTAATGTGTTCATTTTTAATTTATTTCATTTTTTTACATGGGGGGTGGGAAGAACTAATTGATGAGGGGCATCAGGGCTGTAACATTAGGAATATAGATTTTTATTTCTAATGCTACAGTGTTCCTTTAACTCAAGGAGAAGCAAAACCAAATCATCATGGTTATATGAACACCACAAGTATCACACATCAATCGTTTCCCATTATTGTGTTGTAATCAACAAACCAGTGGCGTCTACCAGTCTAGGCATCCATTAGAAAAAACTGAGGTTACAGACCAAAGATAATGCTGCCAAGAAATGAAGATATTATTTAAATCCCTCTTGTGGCCATAACTGGTGACGCACAAAAATGAAGAAAGATATATTAGTCGTGGTACCTCCCAAATCTCAAATCTCACTTGTAATAAATTATTCAATTTTCCTGTATATAAATGTACAATAGACAAAAATGAGACTGGTTTCCAGTTGCCCAATTTTTGCCCTTTGCATATTGAACTATACACATCAGAGCATCCATTTTGTTTACAATTTCTCACATACCCACGGCCATTTTGTGTTGTAAAAATGGTTTTCTAACAGAATAGTGAATAGCAACCTTGGATTCTGTTTCTTAGTAAAAACCAAACCAAAAAAAATATAGATTTAAGAAAGACAAAATTACATCCTAAAACAAGATTACTGGTTCATAAAAATATAATTCCCATAATGCCTAGCAATACCAAATGCTTGCTAGCATTGCTAAGGAAAGCGTTACTTGTTGTGCTGACAAAAGTGAAGCTGTTTTTAATTCCCATTACATTAGTAGACATATTGCATATTATATCCTTTTCATTATTCAATAGATTGCTTTGGGCTCCGATAATTTAATTCACAGCTGAGATAATAACAGCCACAGTCAGAATTATTATATTGATCTAAGGAATTAAAGAACACAGCAGCTATTCAAATCAAACTGTAAATTGACTGAAGAGACTATAGCACATATTTAGACATAAATAAATAATAATTCATACTAAACTAAGTTTACTGCCTCGATAGTCTGTCAATCCAATGTTCTCCCATAAGAAGGCAGTGGGAGGCTAGTGCGCATGCACGGCAGAACGCCACAATGCACCAATCAGATCTGACTGAAAGAGTGGAGTTTTAGTCCACTATTTTGGTGGAAGCTTCTCTAGTGACTGAAGAAGTGGGGGATAGGGGACATGGAGATGAAGTGGCCTTTGATTTGATAGATGTTGGCCTAGGTTGAATGGCTGACGTCCCACATAGTGGAAATATCTCTGAAAGTGATGCAGACCGTTTTGCAAGTTTTTTGGCTGTTTTTGACATAATTAAATCCGCTAGGTTTTTTCATCTGTTGTTTCTTTCCCTGACCATTATTTTTTAATGTATTATGTTTTTTTGGTTGTTTTTTTTTAAATGCAACCAATTTATCAGTCTTTCAATCACTTGTTCTGCCAAAAAACGTGTCCTTATTCACTTTTGAATCAACAGCAAAAACAAATATGAGGAAGGCTGAACTTGATGGATGCAAGTCTCTTTTCAGCCATGTAACTATGTAACTTTGTATTTTTCTGCAGTCTTTTCTGAAATAGATATTTACTTTTTAGACAATTTTAGAACAATTTTATAAATATGAACATTTATTTATTTTATTTATTTCTTTATAAAATATTTTACCAGGAAGGATAAATTGAGAGTTCTCTCGTTTTCGAGTATGCCCTGGGTCCACAAAACATTGCATTGATACAATAGGGTACAATAAAATACAAAAACAATGTTAATACACAATATATATACAATTTTACATATTGGAGGACTGCTTTAAAAAAAAAAAAAAACACTTTCCAAAACACTTTGATAAATCTTGCCGAATGTCTTGAAATTGTTAAACGAAACAAAAATTGCAAAATAAAAAAACGTTTGCGGTCTCTGCTTTCCAGCCTCTGGTGCAGAGAATGTGTGATCAGTTTTATTGTCATTATAATATTACATGACTGGTGCGAATTTTCCAAAACTACACAACCTGTGTGGTTCCTATATTCCCTAAATAACCTGTCGTTAGAAATTCGGCACACCTGGTAATAAAATTGCTCTGGGTGCTCAGAATTCCAATTTGTATTTTGGTTAAAGGGGTGTTACTTTTCCCATTACCACTGCCTGAATGCTGTATTGCTAACTAAAAAGGTTATTCACTAAAGCAGGAATTCAAAGTGCTTTTCACATTTAAGGCTAGAGTAGACAAATTTGTCCAGGTTCGGCTCTACTGACCTAAATATGAAATTCACTTTGAATCCCAGGCTGGTACCATTTTGAGATATAGTCACGTAGTGCCGAAATACAAATTATTTTAATAACATAGAGAACAAAATAGGGCTGAATTGAAGAATTTAGGGCAGTAATGTTGAATTTAGGGCAGCAAGCCACAGTACCTAAACATCAGACGTGTAGGGTATAATTTATCTTAATCTAATTTATCAGACGTGTAATTGTTCCTTAGTGGCCCTTTAACCTCTTAAGGACCAAACTTCTGGAATAAAATGGAATCATGACATGTCACACATGTCATGTGTCCTTAAGGGGTTAAAGGGACACTCCAGTCACCATAACAACCTCATCTAAATGAAGTTGCTATGGTGCCAGGAGGCCCCCAGGCACACTCTTGCCTTAAGGGATTAAGTTGTTCTCCAGCGCCAACCCACAGGTGCCCTAGGAGGCATCCAGTTTCAAACACTGAATTCTAGGGATGCCCCATCATATGTAAAATATACATTTCTTTTCCTTATTACTTGCCCTGTTGAAATCAGATTTTTTAAAAAGGCTTTTAGTTGCCTAAAGCCTAAGAGTAAATGGCAGCTGTATTCACATATGAAGGTATATGTGCATGCATAAGGACGACTGCGTGTTTATGAGCAATTAAATTGACCAATTATTTTTAATGACTGGCATATAAAAAATAAACAAGCCTGCTTTCAATATTATAATATAAATAAAATGATAATATATGACAAATTAAATACATAAGAAAGATGACTGTGCAGAATAGTCTCAAATCCCAGTGAATAAGATTTTGAGAATGAACTTTATAATTCACTATGTATACAATGGTGAATTGTGCATTCCATGGTGTGTTTAATTTATAGAAAGACTTGCAGGGGTAGTTCCTAAATTCAATTCATACTGGCCATAAAAATGGAGTGATATGCTTTTAATTAATCTTACTTAATGCAGTTTTAGCATAGATTAGAAAATGAATTGTTCCACTTCCTAGGTGGTTTTCTAATGTTGATTGGAGAGCCACTTGATTAGATTAGTTATTCAGAGATAAATGTGATTGATGTTATTTTAAGCGCTTTCCCTTGGAGATTTTAACAATGAAATTACACAATTGATTCCTCTGCTAGGAGGAATCCTCTTGCTGAAAGGAGATATAAGCCCAATGTAATCTTATTGATAATTTGTATTTGATAGCTCTAACCACTGGCTGTGTTTATTAGAAAAATATAAGCAAACAAAGTGGCTTCCCTGTAGTTTACTTAAATTAAAGGATGATATTTTGATGGTTGAGAATTAGACCGTATCTTCAGAGACGAGCGTACTCACTAAACATCACATTTCAGGAATTTAGGCTCGGCTGATAAACCAGCTCGGTATTTTAAACGTTTCAAAAAGTCAGTACTTTCTGAGCCGAGTTGTCTTTTGTTGAATTACACCGTTAGTTCTAAAGGATCTTCAATTGGCAATCAACACAAGTCAGAGGAAATGTATTTGGCTAAAAGGACAGGGCTGCATCTAGGAAAGGAATAATGGCACTCGGGTTCTAGGAAGGATACCAGCACCCCTTAACACTTAGCACATGGCTGTTAAATGGATCCAAGCTTGGCCTAGTATCTTAAAGGTGCCCAGCCCCATCTTACCCCCTAGCTGACTGCCCGAGGTTTATTTTGGTTAATTGGGCTATGGCTGCACCTGCATATTAATTTGACATTTAAAGATTCTAAGATGGGGATGGGCTAATGGTAGATCCCCAGATGTTGTAGAGCGGCAACTGCCATGACGCTTTGCCGTCCTAAACATCTGTTCTTGATGTAATATGCCCAGCCCTGTTTTAAGGTGTCAGGAAATCCTGGTGAGGGGTGGGGGGGAAGGGAGCCTGACCGCCATGTCTATTTTGGACCTTAGTTAAAAAAAAAAAAAAGCCTATTATTCAGTTATTTATCCCTAAATATGAATCTAAAGTGTGAGACTTGACTATGCCATGAAGGCAGGTGCTATTTTCCTTGCTCTGCAACCTAAAATTTGCCCCATTTACCAGAAATTGAATTCCTAAAATCTGAGGCCTACTTTGGCATTCGAGCAACTCCATATATCTGCAGTACACCACTTTTCATTTTTAAAATGCACAGTCAAACTTTTCTTTAAGCCATCAATTCAGCATGCAAACAAGCGAATGTTCTATAGGATATCCTGGATCATTGCAGCGAATCCTTTACTACTGAGCGTAAACCTTGTGTTTATAACTGTTGACGACTCTTACTGTATATTCTTATCTTACCCATAAAATGAGGTATGCATGATCACTGTCTGGGTGAACATTTCAAGTTACGGTATTCTTGTAAACCGTTATATTATATTTTATGCTTACATTGTACTTCATTTATATGCCTAAATAGAAAAAGATTGACAAAAAAAGAAAAGAAAAAGAAGTCTTGGTGATCTTGGATCACGAGTTAAGTAAAGTTATAACTAGGTAGTAATTTCTCGATATCTTGTATGAACATTCCCATAGATTTCTAAAAGAGCGCATAAACAGAATATGCATGTGTTCAGCCTGAATTAGTTTAATTTACTAAAAAAAAAAAAGACTGAAGACAAAAAGATCATCTCCATATTGCACTGAAAATAGGGGTATCTTTAGCTTGAAATGTTCATTTAAGGTAGTGTGCTGTCTCTTAGGAATGAGGTATCTGTAAGTAGCAGTCATTGGAAGATGTATTTGAAAATGTAGGAACTAATTTACAGTATAAAGATTTTTTTTCCTAAACTATGTTCGAGAGGAGAGTAGATGGAAAATATTCAGGGGCAAACCTGAGAATGAGTTCTCAAGCGTTAGTTTTTTGAACAAGGTGAAATAATGAATAGAGAACAGCTGTCGTTCAGACAGGAAAGTATAGTGCTGAAAAAATATTTTGTACCAGGTCATTCGGGATTCATGCATGTAGTGTTTGGGCGAATTTCCTCCATGCGATCGTTTTGGAAAACACGAATGTTTCTCTGTTTATGATTTCGACGAACCAAAAAATTGGTTAATTAGTGTACTGCAAAAGGTAAATATTATCAATATCTGTACATTTGATTCATTTTCGCACCATTTGGTTCGCAGTAAAAAGAAATCTATATATTTTACATATTTGCTATATTTATAAAATATAAATATTGTTTTTTTTTTTGTTTTTACTGCTCCTCTTTTTCCCCCCTCTAAGGTGACTTCTCACTAGATCCATAAATATAATCAACATTTAGTGTCTGTCCCCACTTAATGTATCATATTTTAGAGAATGATAAGTCATCAGAAAAAAAAAAAATACAGCAGTAATTCATGCCCACGTGGGAGTGTAGAAAACTAGATTTAAGTTTTATCTGTATTTAGGTAATAAGCTCTATAAGATGCAACAGGAAATGCTATATGAGAGTAAATAAGAATATAGCCTTAGAGAGGGAGAAGAAGAAAAAGACAAAATATTGTGAGGATGAGAATCATGATTTGTGGTGGCTCAGAGATATTACAAAAATGGAGAACCTGAGTGGGAACGTAAAGTCAGCTGTGCCAAAAGATGGATGAAGGATAATAAGTTAGAAATTAATTTTGGATTTATCCACATACGGCGGTCTAGGACACTCTGGCACCGCAACCACTGCAATAGTTATTGGGCTTGAAGCGTTCCTTTACCTTAAATATATTTATGTCCGGGGACCTTGGGTTTTTGTTTGGGGGGTGGCGGGAATGTTTTCTGTTGACCAGTTTTTGTAGTTGACCTTCTGTATTTGTTTACATAATGTCACTGTTTGGAATTTTATCTTCACACACAATTTTGTTATAATCAGCAAATTCTACATCCTCAGCTGTCAATAATGCAGGTAACTGAAAGCATAGCAGATACAAAGTTAGATGTGTCCTAGCCCATGCCTGTGGTTTAATGAGTTCAATAAAATGTACAGTTTGAAATCTTTCAAGGCTATTTCAAATCCCTTGTTTTAAAGAAACAATGCATCATAAGGCATACAAATGTACATTCCTAATGCTATAGTGTCCTAGTCACAGTGTAGGTGACTCCCCCCCTCTGCCAGGGTTAACTGCCTTTACTTGCCTTTTCTCCTGCACCACACTACTCTCCCTGTGGTCACCCCACCTCCTTGCTAAGATCATCAATCTTGATGATCTCAGCCAATCCAATGCTTTCCCATAGGAAAGCATTGAGAGGCTAGAGCACATGTACGGCAAGCCTGCACACTCTGCCAATCAGACGGTCTCTGAGTTTTATTTGGCTACTTTGACAGACGTTCTGTCAGAGTAACAGTCACTATAGGCATTTAGACCCTACAATGTAGACTTCGCCTTTCCTGCAGAAGGATAATGGTTTTTATTTGTAGGGTTAAAGATGAAGTAATCTGTTTTTAATGAGGCACTTGTGAATCGAAGTGTGGGGTTGCTCAACCAATGTAGTTATAGTTATTTGAATTTTACCAGCAATGTGTGTCTCGCATTTCAAGGGACTGCATCTCTCTCTCTAAATATAGTGTTTTATGTTTTCAAGTAGTCTTATTCATCTGTTACTTCTCCATCACAGATTGCAGATTTAGCTATGACTGCTATACATTTGTTAATGTTTTGTGTGTTTTCCACTGATCTTGGGCTTCTTTGTCTCCATTTTAACAGTACGGCAGGTCAGACAGTTACCGCGTTGCCACCACGCAGGACAATCAGGATGAAAAATCCCCAAAGAAGGGCAAGGGGATACAAAAAAAAGAAATGGATGAACTGAAGAAAGAGGTGGCAATGGTAGGTAAAGAAAAGTCTGGACATTAATGGGTTGGCAGCATGTTGAGATAACTGACTTTTTTAAGGAGAGGAATGGAAGTATACTTGTATGCAAAATGGTGTGTGAGAACAGAGGTGAATTGGGGCATGTTAAAATGTGTCAATAACATAATTTTGCTAAAGTAGTTTAAAGATCAGTTCTGTATGAATGTGAAGAACATCTGCATGTGTACGTATGTGACATCACTCTAAGAGGCCAACATGTATTAATGGAGATTGTAAACAGTGTGGAATACACAGTGTGTGCAAAGTAAGAGTGTAAAAAGTTCATATCTGTTGCATGAAGTTAAGTGCTTTTTATTTTGTTAACCTAATTTCTGTTCTTTTCACAGACAGAGCACAAAATGTCAGTGGAGGAAGTATGCCGGAAATACAACACAGATTGTGTGCAGGTCAGAGACGGACTCATGTGGCGCAACACACCAAACATTAAATAGAAAATATAGTTTGCTTAATCTTTGGTAGTACTCTCCAAAAGAATAGAAAATATATGTGTACACACTATCAGAATACTTATATGTATTAGTGCACTACATGTGTTAGAGGCAGTCAGCGTTTTGCCCCACAGTGGAAAAAGACGTCTTCGTCAAGATATGTATAATATATTCATGCAATTACATTGTTCTTTAAATTCTTATTTTATTATATTTCGTTTAGACTTAAAAATTTGTGCTTTCTGATCCTATTGAAGACTGATTTCTCTATATGGGCTTAAAATATTGAGGGCCTAAAGGATATGTGACGCTTTAATACATTTATACTGGGGGTTTCCCATATCCTATCGAACTACACTGACCATGATGCTTTGTCAACCACTAGAATAGCAAATCATTAATAGAATTTGAAGTTCTAAAATATCTCGGGATCTACCTTCTGGTCAACCCTGATTTAGACTTTCTCATACCTGGAGTGTTCATGATTATTTCCTTTTTCACATATATTTATGAACACAATCATATGTTTGCTAACATACACATACAGCTTCTTCTGTGTTTTATCGTGTTAGTGTTTATTTCTCTCTCACCCTCTTTATATTTGATTTTTTAGGGGTTGACAATCAGTAAAGCAGCAGAGATTCTGGCCCGGGATGGACCCAATGCACTTACTCCCCCACCCACCACCCCTGAATGGATAAAGTTTTGCCGTCAACTGTTTGGAGGGTTCTCCATTCTTCTGTGGATAGGAGCCATTCTCTGCTTTCTGGCATATGGAATCCAGGCGGGCACAGAGGACGATCCAGCAGGAGACAATGTAAGAAGGATAGTTACCTGTCTCTGTATGTACAGAAAATTTTAGGGATCCTGCTGATGTACCTAAAAACAAAGATATAAGATACTGCAATAATGCCTGATATAGGAAAAAAAACAGTTGCACTCACAAGTTAGAGATGATAAAAGCACCTTATGGGTGCCACCTACGATTTCAATAGGGGGCTAAAGCTCCTCCTTGGGGCTTTTGTGATGTTTCAGCTCACCAAACGATATACCGGAGGTTTCATCAAAAGGATACTTATTAACAAATAAAATTAATTACACAAATAGTGTTAAAAATGCTGGTCCATAGCTTTTCGTGCTCAAATGAGACCTTCCTCAGGGACCCATGTAGATAAAAGCAATGACAACAATGTAATAAAACCTTACAGTTTAAATAACCCTTTCCTACAGTCATTATATAGGGCTAACCCAAAAAAAGTCATTGGTGGAGTTGTGGGCATCTTTACCTTATACATACGGATTGGTTGGTGTATTTCTTCCTGCAGCTGTCTCTATTTCCTGTTAATTTCGTTCCCCGCCGACGTTAACAAAAGTCCCGAACTTCTGCCGAAATGACCGTGCGTTCCCAGGTGGGAGATCGTAAACATGCAAACACAGGCTCCCCCTGGTGTTCTCCAAAGTGGAAAAAAAACTTTTTTACCTAAACACAAACTTGTGTTAGTCACATATCTCTGTATACAATTAATTAACTATTGTGCCAAAAATTCGATAGTCAACCAAAAACAATTTACATAAATTACTGATACCATCCCACTGACATATACCTCATATATAGCAGTGAACCGTTTTTGTCACTGATTTTTAAATAATGCTTATGTGTTAATGTTCAAAAAATGTGGTATGAACTAAAGAAAATAATTATCAGAATCAATTACAAAATGTCATTGATCAAAAAACTAATAAATAAAAAAATTAACAATGAACAAAAAAATGTAGCCTCCTTTTGAAATCGTGGGTGGCACTCATGAGGCGCCTTTATCATCTCTAACTTGTGAGTGTAATTGTAAAATAGTTTTTTCTATATCAGGCAATATTGCACTATGTTATAACTTTATTTTTAGGTAGATCAGCAGGATCCCTAAAATTTTCTGTACTATACATTTCTACTGTGGTTGGTTACCACCTGGGAAGTAACCCTGGAGACTGTGTGCCTAGAAGTTAAAGGAGCACTATAGGGTCAGGAACACAAACATGTATTCCTGACCCTATAGGGTTAAAACCACCATCTAGCCACCCTGGTCCCCTAATGCCTCCCTAAATATAGTAAAGTCTTACTTGTATTCAAGCCTGAAGCTGCAGACTTTGTCCCTGTTTCCTGTAGATCTGCCCACTGTCTGCTGACATCATCAGAAGTGGTGGCCTGATCCAATCACAATGCTTGCCCATAGGATTGGCTGAGAATGACAAAGAGGCAGATCAGGGGCAGAGCCAGCAAAATTCAAACACAGCCCTGGCCAATCAGTATCTCCTCATAGAGATGAATTGAATCAATGTATCTCTATGAGGAAAGTTCAGTGTCTGCATGCAGAGGGAGGAGATACTGAATGTTTGGATGTATTTTAAGCAGCCATAACCCAGGAAGGATCTCTAACAGCTATCTAAGGAGTGGCCAGTGAAGTTATCACTAGGCCGTAATGTAAACACTGCATTTTCTCTGAAAAGACAGTGTTTACAGCAAAAAGCCTGAAGGTAATGATTATATTCGCCAGAACAAATTCAATAAGCTGTAGTTGTTCTGGTGACTATAGTGTCCCTTTAAGTTTAGATTTTTTTTTATATTATCACATTTCACTGGTGTCAGGTGGAATTGTCACATCCATAAAATCTATACAAACTTTTTTGAGAAATCAAATATTTAAAACACAGGATTCCAATGATTAATGTGCAAAATAAAGACATCAGGACGGCTGACTACCCCTCTGCTGTGTTTATATAACTTTAGATTTTTCAATAAAACTTGTTTGGTTTTTAAGTGTTTTTTTACTGACACTCTAATGTACTTCCCAGTGCCTGGGTATTGTTTTGTTGAGTGATGTTTCTTCTCGTTTAACATTAATGCCGAGGGTACTGATCATATTTTGTACGGCGTGAAAAACGTGATATACACACAATAGATTTTCCTTCCATATTCATATCTTTCAGTTTTCAGATCCACTAGGCAGCAATTATCTGACTAATTTCTGTAAAGGTGGGTGAGCATATTGTATGGCAGAGATATCTGACAGATACAGTTGCATGTCTGGCATGTCTAACACCTCTTATCAGCCTGGGAAAGATGACAATGTATATGAATTTGAGAACCAAGAATGGCAATTTAAAGAGCTATGTTTCTTTAGGATGTGCAGGGCTATCTACATGCTGCTGTATGGTATTGGGAATGATTGTATCTTGCCAGTTGGGAGTACACCATATTAACTGCAAACTGTTTTTATTCCAGTTATACTTGGGTATTGTCCTGGCCGCAGTAGTGATCATCACTGGTTGCTTCTCGTATTATCAAGAGGCCAAAAGCTCTAAAATCATGGAATCGTTCAAGAACATGGTGCCTCAGGTGAGATGAAATGGGAGTGGGGGTAAGACATGGGGAAAGAAAAACCGCAAAACACAATGAAGGCAGAAAGCACAATTTAGAGGATGTATACGTTGGTAACAGTTACTGAGAGTAAGAAAGAAAAACAAGATTACAAAATGATTAGATGAGTGTGATAGATGAGGAGAATTAAAGATTAAATCAAATCGAGAATTCACGGTGAATTCAGATTTAAAACTAAAATAGCTAAACTGGAAAAATTCTCATACTTAGCTATGCTTCTACTTTGGCTAAGCTGGCCTTAAATTTAAAATTCACTTTGAATTCACTTTAAATTCTCACTTTAGTAAATAACCCTGTTAGAATTATATAGAAATGTGGAAATATGCTCTTATAATTCATGACCAATGACCATCGGACTACCATGTTCTTCATCTCATTCTCACTTCCTTCTTCATTGACTTCCTTCATGACTGGTTCTACTGATTCTCTACACTTCCTTTGCTTCTTCTCTGAGAGCCCATGTCTCTTACTTTCCCTCTGCAAATTTCATGAAGTTTGTCCTATTTTTTTATTTGTGTCTTTTCTGTTTTTGTGGTTTCCATGTCTCAGCATTTTGTTTTTCAGAAATGTCTATATTAAATTATTCCCCTCTGTTTCCTTTTTTTTTTTTTTTTTTTTACTCCAGCAAGCTCTGATTATTCGGGAAGGTGAAAAAATGCAGGTGAATGCCGAAGAGGTTGTAGTTGGAGATCTGGTAGAAATTAAAGGTGGAGACAGGGTGCCGGCTGATCTGCGAATTATCTCAGCCCACGGCTGCAAGGTAATTTAGGACTTCTCTGTGACAAAACCCTGTAATTCCTTGTCCCAGTTATTTTACCTGCATTCGGTAGATTGATCTACTGAACACCGACCACCCCCCAGCTCATTTAACTTCAAAGAAAACCACAAACTTAAGTGCTCTCTCTGTGTGGCTACCGTTTGTATAACCGAACAAAACTTGCGCTGGAAAAAGGCAGCAATCTTGTCTCCTGAAAGCAGGCAGCGGTACTTGGTCATTGAGTGTCTGGAACTCTAACTCAGACACTCGACCCCGTGAATAATGATAGCTTTCCGCGAATGCCTGCTTCTATAATCAACATGCCAGGAGAGCGCTATTCAGTGGGATTGTTCGCACGAACCAGGCGAACAATCGCTACCTATGAGCCAGGGGAACCGTTTGCTATTTTGTTCATTTTGGAACTCCCAAAAGTGACCGACCATTACCAGACGCCACATGTGCGGTGGGTCAAAACTTTAGCCCGGGGGCAATTTGGCTGTGTTCGTGGGATCTGAGTGCTATTTATATATGTTGTGCGCTCTCATGGAATATCGGGGGATATAATACTTGTGGGGGTTTATTTTCTGTACCTCTAGTGCCTGGGAGATAATTAGTTTAAGCAAAATACACACAATTATCTCCCAGACACAGAGACTCCTGGGTGTGTTTTACCATGCTATTGCTGGAGACCCCATGCTGGGATCTGTGTATAAAAGTGGGCTATCTGGCCATAATAAAACACTCCTGTTGTACCCTTCATCAAGTCTCGACTGATGTTTGGGTATGCGAACAAACAAAACTATTGATTTTTCCCACGACCCGTTTGGATTTCGGGAGAGTACGAACTAGCGTACTAAGCAAATGGGCTATAATCACTCAACCCTCTAGCAGTTCGGGCGTGTGTGAACAAATGGATCATACGAAATGCAACGGGTTTGTTACATTCTCCTTCACGGCACATGTCAAGTAGCAAAATATTAGAATTCCCCAAGGCTGGACAGTCATAGCAAAACTGTGTCTACAATGAAGCCGCTGGTTCTAGAGATTTTTGTGACATACAGAGAACTCAGTGGAAATCATTTTCCATGGGTTTTAACTTCTTAGTAAAATCAAAGTTATTATAAAATGTCTAACTTACTAATATTAATGATATTTAATGAGTTACATACTAACCATATGTCTCCTTCCTTTCATTTCCTTTCCCCCTTCCTTTCCCCTTCCCCTTGCCCTTGCCCTTTCTCTTCCCCTTTCCCTTCCTTTCTTCCTTCCTTCCTTCCCTCTCTTCCTCCCATTTCTAATTCACCTTTCAGGTAGATAACTCTTCTTTGACGGGTGAATCTGAGCCCCAGACCAGGTCGCCTGATTGCACTCATGATAACCCTCTTGAGACAAGGAACATCACTTTCTTCTCCACCAACTGTGTAGAAGGTAGGTGTCATAGTTTCATGTTCATATGGATGATGTTTGTACAATATTTGCCAATGCTTGGTGGACAGGTCAGCAACATGATTTCCTCCTCTGGAATTTAAAAAAAGCAAGATTTGAACTTTAATGTATTGATGGTGTCTAATCAGAGTCAAGTGTCAAGGTAAGACATGCAATGTATCACTTCCATTACTCTGTAGTTTAAGTTACAAATTAACAGGGAATTTCAGAATTGTTATAGACCACAAATTAGGCAGCAATATGCAATGTCAATCTGCAGTTGCTAAGGCCAGTAGAGTTTTGTCATGTATAAATAGGGACATAAATTCTCGGGATGAAAATATAATTTTACCTCTTTATAAATCACTGGTAAGACCACACCTTGAATATGCTGTGCAGTTTTGGGCGCCTGTTCTAAAGAAGGATATCATGGCACTAGAAAAAGTGCAGAGACAAGCTACAAAATTGATAAAAGGAATGGAGCATTTTAGTTACAAAGAAAGGTTAAAAAATTTAAATCCCTTTAGTTTGGAAAAATGGCGCCTCAGAGGGGATATGATAACATTATACAAATATATTCGGGGTCAGTACAAACCATTATCTGGAAGTATATTCATAAACAGGCTATACATAGGACACAAGGTCACACATTTAGGCTGGAAGAAAGGAGATTTCATCTAAGGCAAAGAAAAGGTTGTTTTTACAGTAAGAGCAATAAGGATGTGGAATTCTCTGCCTGAAGAGGTGGTTTTATCAGAGTCCATACAGATGTTTAAACAGCAATTGGATAGATACTTGCAAAAACATAACATGCAGGGATATAATTTCTAAATAGTGGGGTAATAGCTGCTTGATCTCTGACTGCTATTTTGGGGTCAAGTAGGAAATGTTGTTGCAAAATTGGAAGCGCTTCAGACTGAGTTTTTTGCCTTCTTTTGGATAAACAGCAAAAACATATGTGAGGAAGGCTGAACTTCATGGATGCAAGTCTCTTTTCAGCTATGTAACTATGTAATAGAGTACTCATCATTGTATCTACAGTTTGCATTCCATACAGTGATGGGTGAAATATATTAGGATGATATTTAGGAAGAGGATGGAAGCATCAGTAAGACAACTAGAATGTTTGGTTACTTACAGGTACAGCTCGAGGGGTGGTAGTTGCTACAGGAGACAGGACCGTCATGGGACGTATTGCCACCTTGGCTTCTGGTCTCGAAGTTGGAAAGACACCAATTGCCAAAGAAATTGAACACTTCATTCACCTTATCACCGGCGTTGCTGTTTTCCTGGGAATCTCCTTCTTTATCCTCTCCCTCATCCTGGGCTACAGCTGGCTAGAGGCTGTCATCTTCCTTATTGGCATCATTGTGGCTAATGTGCCAGAGGGACTGCTGGCAACCGTGACTGTAAGTATTGGTTAAAATATCCCCCTCTCTGAGCACATACTGAGGAATGAATCCACATGGTGAGATTTCATGTCATTGTGATGACAACCTACCTAACCTCATGACAGAGGATATTGAGTACCCTACTTGGCTGCTGTGAATATAATATAGTATTCTTTCCGAAATTGTGTTTAAATTAATGTTGGTTTCCGAACATCTTAACACTCCACTGTCCAAATATAAAAATAATTGTCTGCACCCTCCAGCGTTCCAGTCATGCTGGATCTCCCACAGATCTAAGGTAAACCTCAGAGAGGGGGAATAATCTTTATTTTTATTTGTTTTTTGTAATATTAACATGTTTTTTCTCCTGCCCAAACATTCCACTCAGTCCAAACACCTTTTCAGCCCCAAACTCCCACTTCAGCCCCAATCCCCCTGCTTCACCCCTCACTACAGCACCTATGCCCCCACTGCAGTCCCTAACCGCCTATCCCTCACAGACATCTGTTTCTCCCCAGTACAGTGCCTATCCCTTCTACCACAGGATCTAAACCCCCACTGCAGCCACTGACCCCCCCCCCCCCGCAGCTTCTATCCCCTGCAACCTCCCCTCTACCCCCACGATCTATAGAAACACCTATATGCACCTATAGATACTAAAACGCTTTTAATGTAGAGTATATGTAAAATAACTGGTCTACATGACACAAAGCAAATCGGACATTGTTATCATAGTTTATAATACTCATCCCAGAATTAATTACTTACAAGCGGAATTGAGCCTCTGATGTAATTTCAAAGGATTGTGTTAATTCTCTATCTCCCGTCTGCTGTATCTCATGGTGGCTGATCTGACAGGGGATTGGTTTCCAGTAGCACTGTTGCCAGGGGAACGGTGGATTCCTTTAAAGCTTTTATAATTTAGCCATAATTAAAGTACTATATAAGTCGATCTTTTTATTTATACATGCGAATGCTAGAATGAAGACTTACTGCTTACACAGGAGGCATTTTACCTTTTAATATCAGATCACAATGAAATTAAATATTTATGAATAAATGACTTACGAGGGAAGTACTCACCTAAAAAAAGCATTTCTTGTTTGCTGAAGTGATTCCAAATTATGCACAATACACAAGGGAGCCAGTCCATACAAAACAAGCTGTGAATAATTTAACAGCTTCAGGAAATGCACCAATCACAGATGGAATGACGGAATGTGGTCATATCATGCGTGATCAGCCATTATATCAAGGCAACCCTAGATAATGTATTTTCTATTGTCATTTTGTATTCTTAGATTTTGCTATTAATCTGTATTTACAAATGCAGAATCTCTTGAAAAAAATACTATATTTTGGTAGATTCAAATGCCCCATCTTGTGGTACCATAAAAATGGGATTGAATTCCCCTTGCTCATTGCAAGACAAAGTCGTGTTTTTATTCAGCTTTAAAAGAATCTGTAATAAAAAGATAATAAATTGCACTGAAAGAAAAGTTCGTAGCTAGAAGCAGTAGGTCACACGTCTATAGAATATAATGTTCCATTTGGTGGACCCTATCTCCAAAATTCCTTTAATAAATTCTCAACGTGCATTATTTAGATTAAACTTCTCCATATAATTGCATTCACAATACACCATAATTCTTTGTATAAAACCACACAATTGAAGTGTTAAACAGCAATGTGAGTGGATAGATAAAAAAAATATTAATTTTACTGATCAATAAGGTTTAGAAAATAGTCCAATGGATGGATATCATTAGACATAATTTATGAGTGGTTCTTTCTCACAGAAAAGGGTATGGCTCGTGAAAATCTCTACAAATGTTTTCAAACATGGTAAAAGATATGTACAGAAGGAAGTCTAAGAATTGTATAAAATGTAGACTTTAAGCAATTCTGATTACGAAATCAGGGTAACAATAGCATATGTATAATGGAAGTAGCTACAGAGAGCAGTTATGTAGTAATTAGTAATCTGTGAGTCTTGTGGCATAGATCTATAGTAGAACACGGGAGACAACATTCTAGATGCACTGGGCCTTCTCTTTGTCTTTACATCCCTATTAAAACATATGATTCCTACAGCGAATGCCCTTACCTGAAAAATATTGTCACTGTATAAAAAATAACCGTGTACTGTTCTGAAAACATTTAAAATATAGGCTAAGGTATGCAAAGAAAGACTTTGTTTCCTAAGCTTCGAGTTCGGGCTTCAATTCAAATATTCATGATATTGACAGAGTAAATAAGATATGTATGAAACTAAAATATAAATCTTGGTAGATTTCATTGCAGGAATATTCTTGTTACATTTTAGTGAAGGGATACATCATATGAAGATATTAGATCCATGGCAGGCAGATAAGTGAAAATATTTCTTCTGTAGAGCAACATGTAAAATGACACTGGTGGGCCTAGTCAGCATTAAAAAAGGATTCCATATAAAATCAAAATGTTTCCAATTAATCAAACGGTTTTCAAATAATTTAAAGATACAGTACTAAACAGAGACATGGAAGGATAGGAACAAATCACACAAATCACAAAAACACAGATTAAAAAAAGCAAAGGGCCTAAAAATGAATCTTGTATGTAGATGTAAATTCCTTTGGGACCCACCTAATACAACCTGGAAATCCCAATGAAAGATTCATGTCTCCCAGTGTGGCGCCTTCTATGTAAGCCTCGTGACATCACCTCCAACAAGCTCCGGAATCAACAATGCCTCTCAACTGCTACCTAATTGTTGTTGCTCTGTGAATGTATCATGAGACTCAAGGATTATCACACCACCATGTAAAGTTCAGAGATAGATCAATAGAAGTTTAGTTAAAATTGAATATACATTAGTTCCTAAATAAACAAGAAGGCACAAATCCCTTTAATCATATTGTCATAATATTGCAATGTAAATTAACGTCGACAGTATACATTAGTTGAACTGCACACAGTTTGGGTCTCTCCTGGTTTTTAAATTTCGGCTCACGCCAATCTTGGATAGTATATAGAAAAAAGGTGAGGTACATCAATTATCCTTTCAAAGGCAGTTTTATTGTGACACAGACAACTGCATTTTGTTTGTTTGCTGTTTGCGTCTCAACAAATCTGCCTCCTGATTATTGTACTTCATCCTTCTCTAGATACTGTCTTACTGCGCTCTGCTGCCCCAGTAAATTAAGCATTTGATAACGATCACTTGCATCATGTGTGTCTTCTTTTTCAATTTGCAACCCTAGTTGGGTTGTCCTCCGACAATTCCAGCCTGATTGTTCTCCAAGAATGCCAGCCTGGTTGTATTCCACCATATTTTTATAGAATGTGTTGAAGTCTAGCTAAGTTGTGTCCATTCTCATAGGAACACATAATCACTATTATTCTGTTTATTCTTCAAAGGTATGTTTGACTCTAACAGCCAAGCGAATGGCCCGAAAGAATTGCCTGGTGAAAAACCTGGAAGCTGTGGAGACTCTTGGGTCAACTTCTACCATTTGCTCAGATAAGACTGGGACCCTAACACAGAACCGTATGACTGTGGCACACATGTGGTTTGATAACCAGATTCATGAAGCTGACACCACAGAGGATCAGTCAGGTGGGTAACACACAGAGCTTTGTTGGACTAGAGTATCATTGCCCGGCAATGCAGCCAGACTATGGTGAGTGTGTATGAAGTCCCTGGGAGTATCTATGGCTGCAGGGTGAGACAGAGCTCAGGACATTCATAACTCATGCCAGTTATCATTGTTGGCAATGGGGGTCACAAAAAACAGTTTCTGTATATCCCAGGTACACACAGATCTCTGTGAATGCTCCAGTATAGTACGCAGGTCATACTGATATAGATTACAGAGATATATATTATGTCATGCCTTGTAACTTCAGCAGCCTCCATCTGTCAGATCCATAGATAATCTGTGCAGTAGCCATAAGGCAATCCATGCAAAGACCTGTGAGTTCTGTGTACATAAAAAAATCTATTTCATCTGTATTCACCTCTAGAACAAATGTTTGCAGTCTTTTACTATCTCACAACCATGGCTGATTTTGTCTTCATATGCCATCCTGTGTTTTTACACTGGTTATCACACTTTTTCTCTTTGCACTGGAAGAGAGCCTATTGGGTCTGGTGTTGCTGTTAAAGATGGACCTGATCATAGAATCATATAGATAGAAAATACTAAAATAGCCATATCTCCCAGGTGTCCTAGATCTGGTGGGACAGTCCCAAATTGGGTCCTGTGTTTTGCTAACCAATAATATGAATTCGGTATTCTGTCTCTTGGGAACACCGGGGAAAATACCATGCTGTCCTCAAGCAATTGGTATATAAATGGTTTAATTGGCATATAAATGGGAACAATTATAAGGGATGTGTTAGTAATGCAGATTGAATCGAGAAAAGAGTAGGCCAGTGTCATACAAGGATGTTTCTATTATAAAACGTGTTTGCTTGATGCACGTATATTCCAAGAGAACACAAGTAAGGCAAAACTCAGTTGGGTTGCTAGCTGACCATGTTATTACAGCATATACAATCAGTCAGCAGTAGTGCACATCCACTCTAAATGTACATGGCTACGTGCCCAGTAATATCCTTCCCATCCAAGGCAACACCACACATTTTACACTTTATTATGTTCTGTCCATTTTATTAATAGTTTTCTGCGATTAACAGAAGTCTATTCTTAAAAATATATAATAATTGCCCTACACAAATGAAATAAAACGCCGTTATTTGATTTAGAGCAGGAGGGGAACTTGCACGTTGCAGTTTATTTTAATTTTTTAAATTTTTAAATCATACATATAGCATGCGACAGTCTCTATATACCATCCAGGAATACTGGGGAGGGAAGAGTTAATGATTTATAAAAACTAAATAAAAAATAAAATATATATATTAATCAATCAAGATTTCTGAGCCTATTGAAGAGTCTTGGCCTGGCTGTAGCTTCACCAGGCCATCGGTTAATATGGCCCGAGAGTTACCTCTTTGGCTTTTTTTTAAACCATATTTTCTCTTTAATTTACACCCTGATGATATTCTTTGTGTCTCCATCTCTCAGGTGCATCATTTGACAAAAGCTCTCTTACTTGGGTGGCCTTAGCTCGGGTGGCCTCTCTCTGCAATCGTGCTGTCTTCAAAGCAGGAAATGACAACATTCCCGTACTGAAGGTGAATTAGCTACAATACTGGTACTTTGTTACAATATATGTTAATACGTATAGTTTTTTGTTTCATATCTAATGCTTTCTGGACTATTGTGATTCAATCCATGAAAATGTCTTGTTTCTTGCGTCTTGCTTTCTATCTTTGTAATTTATCGTCCTAACTGGACAATTTGGATTGAACATCAGATCTACACTGACATGTCGATGTCTCTGTGTCTATCTCCCTTAGAGAGATGTGGCAGGTGATGCATCCGAGTCCGCTCTCCTTAAGTGCATTGAATTGTCCTGTGGGTCTGTGAAGCATATGAGAGAAAAGAACAAGAAGGTGGCAGAAATTCCCTTTAACTCCACCAACAAGTACCAGGTTAGTTCCACAGCGAACTTCAGGTGATGAAGTCCATTCCCTCCAAAGGACAAAAATGTAAAGATGTTCATTGTAGTTTGTTAACACATGGTGAAAACCAAACAGAAGTTTAAAAATGTGACTCAGAACATATTCCAAATTTGCCGATCTTGGTAAACAGTTACCTGGTAACTGTATTCACACTTTTGTTTAATTAAGATATCAATTTTAGTTCCTTGCGTGATAAATTAGGTACAAATAACCAGACGGTACATCTTAGCCTTGCTGAACGAATAATTACTTTCTCCCAGCTGTAGAGCAATTATGTCATGGCTCCATTCTTCTCAATGTCTTTAGTTAATATGAAAAAGCAGAAAGTACCATATAATTGCTACTGCAATTGAAGAAAAAAATTGAATGTGTCTTCTGCCATTTTATATTTTGGTATCATTTGTGGAGAAAAGCAGTGCTATGTAAGACACACAGTAAAATAACAATGAACTATTGCTATATAACGTGATCATAAAAAAGGACAATTCTGGGACAAAGTTCTAAACGTGAGGCCATCATTATGGACACAATGGAATGTTCCTACTGGCCCAGTCATTGGTCTTTAACCCAGAATTTTGCTATATCTATCTTTGCAGATGATTTCTTGTCTTTGTCTATCTTCTGAAGTCTTGTTGACTGTCAGAATTGCTACCAATTAGGCCAAGTTATCAAAAACATCTTCAAATTCCGCATGTATTAGGAGGCACATGAATAGTGTTTCCAGGCAGTATGTAGAATTAATATGTGGCCAGCATAAAATTAGTTAACTAGTCTCAACGTTCCCTATAAGATTCTTTTACAGATTACTTTTTTTCTAGTTCTGGTCATCTACCACTTGATTGCATGTGGAACTTATAGCCGTCTGTAAACATATGGCCTAGAAGATATCTTTAATTCTTTAAATCACCATCACTTTTAATCTATTTTGTATACAGTTCAGCTGTGTTTGTCTGATGCAATCCATTTCACCCATGGCAGCCCCCCTCTCTCCCAGTTTCCCTCTCTCCCTGAGCCCTCTATGTCCCCTGTCATTTTCATTCTCTCTCTGTGCAGATTAGGCCCAGTTAGTGTAGGAGCCAGCTTGATCCTCCTTAACACCCGTTTTATAATAACATAAAAGCTTTTTAACTCTACCTATTCATCACACTGCCCTGGGTCACACTGACTTTAACCCTTACAGGATTATTTACTAAAGTTAGAATTCAAAATACATTTTATATTTAAAGGTTAAAATAGCTGAAATGAAAAATAAAAAAAAATCTAAGTTAGCTGTGGTTTCAGACCGGCTACTCGGCCCATAAATTCTGAAATTCGGTTTGAATTCAGTTTGAATTCTCACTTCAGTAAAAAGCCCTGTTAGTTTGAACACCCAAAAAAATGTGATGAGTGCAAAATTAAAGGACAACTATCACCCAAAGACTATTTTTAATATAATAATCATTTCATCAAGTTTTGCATGGAAATAAAATTATTTTTAAACAAAATATATGTACACATATGAGAAACTCATCCCTACCTTTAGTGTATGACAGGATCTCTCAGCTGTATACACCTTAAAGGGACTGCAGGTCCCCTCTCCCTCCCATCCCCATCTCAGGTTGCTGAAGGGGTTTAAACCCGGAAGTGCCCTCTGGTGGAGTTGACCCTGCAAGGTAAATATTGCAGTTTATGAAAACTGCAATATTTACAGTTGCAGGGTTAAGGGTAGTGGTAGTTGGCACACAGACCACTCCAATGGGCAGAAATGGTCTGGGTGCCGGGAGTGTCCCTTTAAGTCAGACAGTGTTTGAAACCCGATAGTTAGTCTCTATGGTCTTTCTTGCTTCTATGCTGGGAGTGAAGCAGGGAAGACCATAGAGACTAACTGTCTGTTTCCGAACACTGTTTGACCCAAGGTGCATGTATATGGCTGATAGAACCTCTCATATAGTAAAGGGATAGATGAGTTTTTTTTTACTTTTTTTCTTAATTTAAAAAAAAAAAAACCTCCTTTCAAAATTGGATGAGATTGTTATATAAAAAAAATAGTTTAAAAGTGACATTTACATCCTAGTTACTATGGATGTCTAAAATAATTACAGTTTAACATTATAGTACTGTCATTTGATTAACATTGATGCACACACTTCTCCAGGTACCCAAAAACTGATACCGATATGGGAAAGTGACATGTTTTGGGAACAGAAATCTAATTGGTAAACTTATTTTCCCTTGTATATTACAATTTCAGTTTAATGCCACAGTACTGTTTCTGAATGACATTTATACCTGTATTTTCACATTCAATGTAACATCTGCTTTATTTAATACTTTGTTGAAATTGGCTATCTTTGTATAAGCAGCAGATTAATTTATTAACTTATTTTTGCTTTCGCAGCTGCTTACTGACATTGTGCTCTCTTTCTGAATCTAATCATGCCAGAGTCCTTTGCATTATGGATTTCCTTAAAGGACCACTATAGTGCCAGGAAAACATACTCTTTTTCCTGGCACTATAGTGCCCTGAGGGTGCCCCCACCCTCAGGGTCCCACTCCCGTCCAGCTCTGGAAGGGGGAAAAAGGGTTAAACTTACCTTTTTCCAGCTCTGGTCGGGGAGCTCTCCTCCTCCGATCCTCCTCCTGGGCTGAATGCGCACGCGCGGCAAGAGCTGCGCGTGCATTCAGCCGGGTCACATAGGAAAGCATTCATAATGCTTTCCTATGGACGCTGGCGTGCTCTCACTGTGAAAATCACAGTGAGAAGCACGCAAGCGCCTCTAGCGGCTGTCAATGAGACAGCCGCTAGAGGAAATAGGGGAAGGCTTAACCCATTCATAAACATAGCAGTTTCTCTGAAACTGCTATGTTTATGAAAAAATGGGTTAACCCTAGCTGGACCTGGCACCCAGACCACTTAATTAAGCTGAAGTGGTCTGGGTGCCTAGAGTGGTCCTTTAACGTTACTGTTATTTTGACAACTGATGTGCATTTTGTACCTGTACAAATGTGTAACCTTACATTCATTATTAGTATGTACAAATGTGTAACCTTACGTTCATTGTTAGTATGTACAAATGATTACAGAGGTCATGTCAAATGTGTATCTGTGAATTTCTTTTCGCTAATGTGAAGAACCTTTCTGTGTTCTCAGTTGTCCATCCATGAAACCGAAGACCCCAACGATAATCGCTATCTGCTGGTAATGAAGGGAGCCCCAGAGAGAATTCTCGAAAATTGCTCCACCATACTAATACAAGGCCAAGAGCAGCCACTAGATGAGGAGCTAAAGGAAGCCTTCCAGAATGCCTACCTGGAGCTGGGTGGCCTTGGAGAAAGAGTATTGGGTAAGTACATAGAAAACTTGTCCATCAGGCTGATATTATTTCTAAAGGCAAATAGTGCATTTTCTACATTTATACTTATACGGAATGCTGAGCATACTTCAGAAAAAGGAACTGATTGCAAGTATACACAGAATATTAAAATTGTATAGGAAAAAGTAAAGGTAGAATTGAGAAAGCTTGGAATGTATTACTAAAAGAGGTGGTTGAATACTTCCGAGAGAACTATCTTAGTCAGTGCAATTATGGGATAATATCCACATAATTATATACCTTGGGTGCCAGGGAATGAAGATATGTAGGTGTTCATTGTGGTGTCTGAGATCAAAAAAACCTTAATAAGTGTTACGACACTGAGAGAATAACTATTCACCATTTACACTGAATTTGAGACATGGAAGCCAATTATCTGAAAAAGAAAAAAATAGGCTTTTATTTAACCGATAATGCAAAAAAAAAATAATATAAATGTATGTATCCAGCAAGAACTGTCCTTTTGCATTCATGTATACACCTGTATACTTCTTTAATGAGAACCTCCATCTTGGCATTGTAATATGTTGACCATGCTAGTCTGGGGTGTACACCTTTTCTGATCTGCAACCTACTTGAATGGGCTAGTAAAGTTGTCCCCAGTGGCTTTACCATATTGTAATCCGTAACACTGTTATAGTCCGTAACTAGTTACTCTAGTATCTAAATTATAATACACTGTGAAAAATAAAAACAAAAAAAATAGTTTCCAATGATGACATCTCATAGAATAGGTAGATAACAGGTAGATAAATACTGGAGTTCAAAAAAAGTTTATTGTGCTTCTGCTTCTGGTATGGGAACAGCTCTTCTACAAACCCAAGTTTGGGGAATTAAGTTGTGCTTAGGACTTGGTTGAATATCTTCCTTTACATTTTGTGTGCTGCTCCGATCTTCCAGCTTCCATGTCATGATTTGGAACAATAAGCTATTGAATGCTTTTTTTTTTATAAAGGTTTGTTACAAATTAATTGTACCCAAGATTGGGACACAAGTTCCAGCTGATGATTTTAGTGTCCATCTCTCATCCATGTAATCCATGTGTCTCTTTCTTGCAGGGTTCTGCCATTATTACTTCCCAGAGGAGCTGCATCCCAAGGGCTTTGCTTTTGATACCGAAGACCTGAACTTTAGCACAGAAAACCTGTGCTTTGTGGGACTTATGTCTATGATTGACCCTCCCAGGGCAGCTGTGCCAGATGCTGTTGGTAAATGCCGAAGTGCCGGAATCAAGGTGAGAGGGACAATATAGTTGGGGTGCAAGTGATTGCACTGTTAAGAACTCACCCACACTAGTTGTGCGCTATTTTCCTAAATAGTTTTGAACCCTCACACAGAGAATAGTTCTAATAATACTGCCAGCCAATACTTTGTCAATTAAAGGATTCATCAAAACTGCTTCAGAATCACTCCATCTGGCATACATTTATTTTTGGTAGATTTAGCTTTTCACTTTACAATATATTTGATTCTAAATAAAACTAAATTATTCATGCATGCATGCTATTTCAGTAGTTCACTTCTAAAATGTTATTTGCCTTACTTACGTTACAACGTTTTAGCTATAAATTAAGCTCATCTGATATCTTTTTATATCTGGCATTAGATTGAAGCCCGAGTGGTATTATCTGCTAGAGCAGATAAAATACGGGTCAGTGATGGATCTCGATATAGTGCATGTGACTCACTCAGTAAAACAGGGATTACTGAGATGATTCATTCTGGATCAGATTAACCAATCTTTGATCTTCCACAGGTTATTATGGTAACAGGAGACCACCCGATTACAGCTAAAGCCATCGCTAAAGGAGTCGGTATCATCTCAGAGGGTAATGAGACTGTAGAGGACATTGCAGCCAGACTAAACATCCCTGTCAGCCAAGTCAACCCCAGGTGGGTTTTTCCCGATGAACATATTTACATGTTGATAAAAGAGGCAAAAGGAAGTGAAGACCATCGTGGACAATAAATAAAGTGCAACAAATGTGAACCCATAGAAAACATATGTGTTGGGTACAATTGTGACATGATGATGTTCTTATGATATTATGACATTATGATAGTAATCCGACTGAATTTAGTGAGGGATTTATCCAGTGATTACCAGCTGCAGAAAATACAGCAGAAGAGTTGCTAATAATTGCACTTTTATCTTATTAAAAATCTTAGCAGTTTTACTTTTTTCACAATATTGTTTTTACATGGCATGGCAGACATTGTATGTAAATTACTTTGAGCCTTGCAGTTATGTACACATGGCACTATTGAAGGGGTGCCAGAGTGCTGGTACCTCATTTCCATACAGTGCATCATGGGAAGTGAGGTCACTTTGAACACAGAAGTGCCCATAGCAGTACTTATAAGAAACTGACACTTGCTACAATGTTACCAGTTTATTGTTTAATTAACAACCTACTTCATATCATGTGCTACTGGAACAATACTGAAACAATCGCTCATGGGAGGTTATATATCTTTGAATTATTTATTTTAATATCTCATGGTTGCAGACTACATAAAGTGCACTTTTAGGTAATGTCTTTTAATACAATTCCCCCATCAACCAATGAACACATATATTTATTCATTAGTTTTAGTTTTTTAAAGAACATAGAAGGGAAAAAAGAGTGAGATCACATCATCACATGTTGGTCTAGGGGTGAATTGTTTTGTTTTAAATTATTTTGCTTTTTATTAATAAAAATGAATGTTGGTCCCTAGTCATCAACAGCCTGGTCCCAACTGGACGTATGGCTGTGATAAATATTACATACTTCCTTCTAGCCATACCAGAAATGGGCACTGTGATACACCTTCAGCCAATCACAGCCATCCATTGCTAACTCACAGCCGTCCATTGCTAACTCTCCTCATTAGACCAATCAGCACAGAGGGGCTGGGCTGCTGAGGAATATCGTTTAGTATTAAAACATGAAAAAGGTTTAGCACTGAATGGAAAGATGACACCAGGGTACTCCAAACACTATAACAACTGCCATGAGATGAAGCAGTTATAGTGCCTAATGTGTCCCTCTAACTGTTCAATCTGCTTTGTGTCTCTGCTGTGTAATATCATTGTAGCATGTCACCCGTATTAGTAAATCACAGAGAATCTGCCCCAAATCATCCCTGTCATCAAAACGATGGAAATATATTCTGATTACTTTGCTTTAGGAATAGTAGATTTGGTTCATAACAAGAGCTGGTTTTAAAAGTGCCAGGGGACTGACATACCCTAAATTATCCTCTCCCCAGAGACGCCAAGGCCTGTGTAATTCATGGGACAGATCTGAAGGATTATAGCGCAGAGCAGATTGATGAGATCCTGCAGAACCACACGGAGATTGTCTTTGCCCGAACCTCTCCTCAGCAGAAACTCATTATCGTGGAAGGTTGCCAGCGACAGGTGAGAGTTCTAGAATTACAGAAAGCATTACGGCCAGAGGCATTGCAGTGGTCAAGAAATATCCGGGGCTTGAGCCCAAAAGGTGAAAGACTTGCCTCTCCCAAACACCAGCTCTACAAGATACGGCTCTTGACACCCTCAATTACTTACAGTAACACACACACACACAAAGATACACACATATGGGCACAGAGAACATACACACTCTGACAAAGACACACAAACGCAGGCAGACATACACAGGCACTGAGATACAATCAAAGGCAGTCACAGACAGACACAGACAGACATGGACAGGCACAGCCAGGCAAAGGCACAGAGACAGATACAGACACACAAAGACAGACAAAGAGAGACAGACAGGGATAGACAGACACTCAGACAGGCACATGTGTATACATGCATATGATAAAAAAAAAAAAAAAACCTACTAGCTCCCTTTCAGTACCTTTGATGTTGTCAGGATGCAGGCCACTTTATTCAGGGCCGGCGGCCAGCAAGCTCTGTGCATAGGACGGAAGGTTAAGGAGAGCAGACAGCATGCTGCCGGCCCTGCGCTCCAGTGTTAAGTTTAAATGTCTAAATACAGGCAGCAGTAAAAAAATCCAAGGATTCGCTCACTATAGTGCTTGAAAGTACAAGAATAAATAAAAGTAAAATAGACAATTTTAAATGTCGCTGTGCTGTGGCCACTCCTCTCGCATTGCTTTGTGCTCTCCCTCCTGGTCAGTGAGTTTCAGCCAGAAGCAGCACAGTGATAGATAATTATATGTATAGATAAGTAATAATATTAATATACATATATGGTAATATTCCCTGTATCCCTATCACTACTCTGATCAGCCACAACATTAAAACCGCTGACAGGTGAAGTGAATAACATTAATTATATCTCATAATGGCACCTGTCACATTACCACACAACACTACAAATGACGAGTTAAGTCTAACAATCAGGGGTTTATTACAATCAATCTCCATGTCCTTACTACTTAAGCTAATGGGTGTATCTGTTTCTCCTGACTAAACATAAGCTGACAGCTTCCCAAAATAGTAATCTTTGCTCGTTTTATTTTCCCTTTTTTTCTTTAAAATGCAACAAACGTATGACGTATCAAAAGTTAATCTTAAAGCGTACAGAATAATCTTGTGAATTTCCCTGTATAAAAAAAAGTGCAATGTTTTTGATGCCATACTACTGTTACCATGTGAATTCAAACCGGTTTGCACCAGCTGATGTGGCAGTGCTAATCTACATGTAAAATATCTGCACGAACAAAATAAAGAATTTAAATAAATAATGGCACCTGTCAAAGGGACGGGATATATTAGGCAGAACATTTAGGGCTTGAATTTCATGTGTTGGAAGCCGTAAAAATGGGCAAAGCGAAAAGATCTGTGACTCTGAGAAGTGCCAAATAGTGATGTCTAGACACCTTGATCAGAACATCTCCAAAACGGCAAGTCTAGTGGGGTGGACCCAGTATGCAGTGGTTAATACCTACCAAAAGCGGTTCAAGGAAGGAAAAACTGTGATTTTAATGCTGTGGCTGATCAGTGTAGATGCAGACTCACCATAATACTGCACTATCATGTTTATTTCAATTTACTCAACATTAAATCTAGTGAAATGAAAACTGAATTGCAAACTTCTGGAATAAAAGGGAATCATGACATGTCACACGTGTCATGTGTCCTTAAGGGGTTAAAGGGACTCTCCAGTGCCAGAAAAACATATCCGTTTTCCTGGCACTGCAGGACCCTGCAGTGCACCTCTCCCTCCTACCCCCATCCCATGTTGCTGAAGGGGTTAAAACCCATTCAGTGACTTACCTGAATCCAGCACCAATTTCCCTCTGTGCTGGGTTAAGCTCTGCCCACACTCCTACAAGCTCTGCCCACGCTGACATCGGCGGGGGAGACCTAATGCGCATATGCGGCACTGGTTGCGTGCGCATATTAAACCTATTAAAACATTAACATTGAATAATGCTTTCCTATGGGGATTCCGGCGATGCTGGAGGTGAGGACATCCAGCGTCGTTTAAAAAAACTTTGTGTTCTAAGAACACGGAAGTCCCTCTAGTTTTTTACAAACCGCCATCGAGCCTTAACTGTGTTGATGCACCCCACTCCCATCAGTGTTTTTTTTTTTTTAAAGAAAAAGGTTTTGCAATTGATATTATAAACTAAACATATTTATCTTTTTGTTTTACTGACCCACATATATATAAAAAACGTGAATTTATTAAAGATAAAAACTTTTATTCTAAAGAATGTATTCAAGGCTCTGCCTTCTATTTTAAGGAGTGACTTTAACTATGGCATGATTAATGTCAATGTACTACAATTCCCATGCTGCCCAGTACTATCACCATCTGCAGTGCCAATGTTGACCATCAGTGCCCTAGCACCAAGCCCAAAACACAGATCTGTAACAACATGCCTTCGTTCTTCATGCTTCATTCTTAACTTCTCGCCTCTGCAGGGTGCAATTGTGGCCGTGACAGGCGATGGTGTAAATGACTCCCCTGCTCTAAAGAAGGCTGACATTGGGGTTGCCATGGGCATTGCTGGTTCGGATGTTTCAAAACAGGCTGCTGACATGATTCTCCTGGACGATAATTTTGCTTCAATTGTCACTGGTGTTGAGGAAGGTAAGAAGATACCAGGGCATTTGTGTGTGATATCGGAGGGGTAACTGAGTAATTTGATTAAATCTGTATGGAATTTCAATGCTTATATTTCTGCCACCAATATGTAGGTCGCCTTATCTTTGATAATCTGAAGAAGTCCATCGCCTACACACTGACCAGTAACATTCCTGAGATCACACCATTCCTGCTCTTCATCATGGCCAACATTCCACTGCCCTTGGGTACCATCACTATCCTGTGCATTGATCTGGGCACTGACATGGTGAGTAGACGACAGGCTAGCAACACAGAATTAATCCATCCACCCCAAGAGCTCCACAGTAATTATCCTCACATTAATGTGTTTAATCCTCACATTAATTTTAGCTGCATAAATTGTTATTAGTAAGTCACCTAAAATTTCTCAGGACAGCCCTACCCATGGTCATCACCCTCCCACTCACACCCCTGAAATTAAAGTATTCCTTTTTGTCCGTTTGAAATGTTGATCAGTGTGATTAAGCTATAACTAGTGACGAGAATAGGGTTAGGATTGTTATTCTATTCACTTAACTCCAAAATGTAGCGAATTGAAATACAAATTGCAAACCGTTAAAGATAAAATAGCTGTGCTCTTACAATAACTTTAAGTTGGCGAATTTTCCCAAATCAGCTATTTTTGTAATTTAGTTTTACATTCACTTTATTAAAGGACCACCATAGTGCCAGGAAAACATACTCGTTTTCCTGGCACTATAGTGCCCTGAGTGTGCCCCCACCCTCAGGGTCCCCCTCCCACCCGGCTCTGGGGAGAGGAAAGGGGTAAAACTTACCTTTTTTCCAATGCCGGGCGGGGAGCTCTCCTCCTCCTCTCCGCCTCCTCTCCTCCCATTCGGCTGAATGCGCACACACGGCAAGAGCTGCACGCGCATTCAGCCGGTCTCATAATGCTTTCCTATGGACGCTGGCGTCTTCTCACTGTGATTTTCACAGTGAGAAACACGCAAACGCCTCTAGCAGCTGTCAATGAGACAGCCACTAGAGGATTTGGAGGATGGATTAACCCATTTATAAACATAGCAGTTTCTCTGAAACTGCTATGTTTATAAAAAAAAATGGGTTAACCCTAGCTGGACCAGGCACCCAGACCACCTCATTAAGCTGAAGTGATCTGGGTGCCTATAGTGGTCCTTTAAAGTCTTTTGGATAAAGCTTGGTAAATAAACCCACAAGGAGTGAATGAAAAAGTAGCTTGCTAAATTAAGGCAAGAATAATTGACTCCGCTGGTTTGACCTAAATCTAGCAAACTGGGTTGTCAGATCAGTACGGTTTACAGTTTAAAGAATAACAGATAAAATGTTGCACTCCATCTCCAGGTTCCTGCCATCTCCCTCGCCTACGAAGCCGCTGAGAGTGACATCATGAAGAGACAGCCTAGGAACCCTCGTACAGACAAACTGGTCAACGAAAGACTGATCAGCATGGCGTACGGGCAGATTGGTAGGTACACTCTGTTTATGACCAGGTCATCTCAATCTTTCATTTCTCTACCATTTATTATTATTATTATTATTATTATTATCATCATGTGAGGCAGTGCACTTAAGTGCTTGTTTATTAATAGTAGGTTGGGTGTTAGTGTCTCTTGTTGAATGAAAATTACGTGTTACTTATATGGGAAACAGGTCACTATAAGAGTGCCCATGAGCATGTTAGATGGCCGTGGCACGGGGTTCGGTTGAAATACCATAAACAGGTACACTGTCTAGGTTATTCACTAAAGTGAGAAATCAAAGTAAATCCTAAGAGAATTTGTAATAAAATCGTTTCTCCTCTGTGTCTTTTTCCAGTTGATTGAAATAATTATTTTATGTATATTTCTGCTTGGGTAAAAGGCTCGCCAGGTTGATATAAGTCTATATTAACCAAAAATACTAAAACACAATCTGACTTATAGTTTCTTCAGGTTTATTCTTACAGTTACTGATACATATTAAAACAACAAAGGATGTTACAGGATATTAGATGTTAAACAGCAGATGGTAATTGCTGGACTCCTGAAGTGAGCGTTAGTCTACATAGTTAGAGGACAGCTGGACAAGAAGAACAAGACCTTGTGGTCTTTTGTCCCCTATTCTATATAGCTATGACCATTATGACATCAGACCTTTTAAATATACCCATGGCCATATAAGGACAAGGCCCCCAATTACAACATTCCAGAGTTCTCATGGTACAGCATAGCAAAGTACCATCTGTTCTCTTTAACCCATTAGACATCCACGCCTACCATGAATATAAATAGGAACATAGTAATATTCTACAGCATTCAAAGATAATTTAAAATTTAAGGTCAACATAACCGAAGTGTAAAAAAATTCTCCATGCCAGCGATGTTTTCCGTTTGGCTACTTTAGCCTTAAGTTTGATAATTACTTTGAATTTACACTTTAGTAAATAACCCTGTATGTCTTGTCTCTCTCTACTTTTTTCCTCATGTCTCCTTCCTCTCATTCCCACATTAGGTATGATCCAAGCCCTGGGTGGATTCTTTGCCTATTTCGTAATTCTGGCAGAGAATGGCTTCCTCCCATCTCATTTGGTCGGAATCCGGTTAAACTGGGATGATAGGACGTGCAATGACCTGGAAGATAGCTATGGGCAGCAATGGGTCAGTTCTACCCCTATGTGTAGATGTTCATGTAATCCCTAATCTAATTTGATATATTTACCTGGTATCAAATCAATGGTGGAGGTGACTGTTGCAGATACGCATCCCTGACTACTCTTTACTCTTCCCTCTAGACATATGAACAGCGAAAAATTGTGGAGTTCACGTGTCACACATCCTTCTTTGTCAGTATTGTGGTCGTACAATGGGCAGATGTCATCATTTGCAAAACTAGGAGGAATTCAGTGTTCCAGCAGGGCATGAAGTAAGATACAAACAACCCAAAATAAGGCAACTCTGAACAACATAAATATGACAGCCAAAACACTGTCTCAAACACCCATTCCATATATCCCATTGACCAGGACCAGATGTCCACAAAAGACCCTCTAGATAATTGTTTAAGGTGGCTACATTCTAACCTTGCCTAGATTTCAGTTGACCGTGCCTATGGGATTATTAATCAATTTGTTTGAAGCGGCTGGAAAAATCATCTTATTCGTACCCAGTGGGTAAAAACATTTCTTCACAGCACACAGACTCCATGTCTTACATGAGCTGTATCTCTTTCCTATGCTGTCTTTTTTTCTATTCTTATCAGAATATCTCCCTCTCTTCCAGGAACAAGATCCTCATCTTTGGTCTGTTTGAAGAAACAGCTCTGGCTGCTTTCTTGTCGTACTGCCCTGGAATGGACATTGCACTTAGAATGTACCCGCTAAAGTAAGTAAGATATGTGGTGGTATGCCTGAGGGTTCTCAATGATTGTTGTTGCATAGTGTGTCCTTTTCCTCCTAGAAACTACATCAACACATTCGGCAGAAAGAATACATCCACACACAACAGTTTGTAGTACAAAAAATATCGACAATGAGGCAATTTTGCAGTGGTAAAATAGTCTGAAAAATTACATATTATAACGAAAACATGTATTAGACCTGTTCGAAAAACAAAGATTCCACGTATTAGTGGCTTGGAGTGAAATAAAAACAGATTTGGGAAAAAACTCTCTAACTCAACTATATTCCCACTTGATGTTTACCTTACATTTCACTCCCCTATTTTGCAAATAAATCTTTAATGATTTCAAGGTAAAGACATCAATTTGTCAAAAAAGTGTAGGGTTACTAGCAGCGCAACATGTGAATGTCTTGTAACTTGGCTGAGAAGGTGCATCAACATGCTATGTCCTATACTTTAATGTGGGACTATGTTCTTCAATGCTTACATATCTATTGATTGAGTTTTTGGATCTTTTTTGTGCCCAAGCATAGAGGCAAATAATCCATCTATTGCTTTGTTTCCTATAGACCCAGCTGGTGGTTCTGTGCCTTCCCATACAGCTTCCTCATCTTTGTATATGATGAGATTCGAAAACTCATCCTTAGGAGACACCCAGGAGGTAAGAGCAGAAATGTCACGAGAATATAAGATATTTTTTCCTACTGATAGTAAAGACAAGGTGACTTCATATTTAGGTTTAATTGGCTGTGTCATTCACTTTAATGGTTGTACTGCAATTGGGGTAACATGATATATAATTCCAGAAGGTGGTAGAATAGGTTGTGTGACATTGTCAATGTCAACCTTAATGAAGATAGAAAGACAGAATGACTGCAGTTTTAAAATAATCTAAAGTAACCCATTAAATCTTTGAGTAAAATGGACACACCACAGCGACTGTGGTCACGTGGCTTGTGTAAGTTGACAGCGAAGCTCGCACACTCGCTATTCTAAGAGCGCTACAGAAGTGCTCGTTCTGTGCTTTTGGGGGAATTCTTTTGGTGTCACCAATAGGAGGAACACCGGAGGAATAACCCAGAATGGAGCAGTCCTAAAAGGATTTTATCTCTAGAACCATGGTACTTGTGAGATAAGTGTTCGTAAAGAAGTACAATTAAAATACACTGTTAGAATACTGTTTAATTAAAAAAATTTTTTTTTTTTACAGGTTGGGTAGAAAAAGAATCTTATTATTAAATTCCCAGAGAAGAGTCTCCCAGACCTGGACCCTCTCCAACCTCTGAATTTCCCCCTACCCGAAAGAAAATAAAATCAAAACAAAAAAAAAAAAAAACAAAAAAAAAACAACCCCCACCAACAGATTCCCTTGGAAAAAAAAAAAACAGCAACTACCACTGGATTTAAAGTAATGCAATGTCAGCTGTAAAACCCACTCCCAAACTTTCTGTTCCAGGTTTATTTTGGTTCTTTTCAACTCATTTCTCTCCTCTCCTTTTTCTGTAAAATTATAAATATATATATATATATATTATATATAAATATAAATAGTACCAGGATTTTTTTTTCTTTGTTTTCCATTTTGTTTTGATTTTAATGTTATGATATAAAAGGAGGGGGAGAGAGAGAGAGATAAAAAGAGATAGCGGATGGTGGCAGAAGTGGGATTAAAAGGGGAACATGGATTAGGAGGAATGGTATATAACACTTGGGGGATTAATTAGGGATGGACAAACTTTGCAATGGCACTGTCTTGATTCTAGTCCAGTCTTTTGGCAGATACAGTCTGCAGCAACTGTTGCGTCAAACGTCGACTGTCTCTGAGAATGAATATAAATGGTCAAACTCTGTCACGGACACAGTAGAAATTTAGAATATAAAATATGGTAAAAACTCTATGCTAGCAGACTTTCAAGCAAATGTACAAATCAAGAGCAAACAGGATATTATTTTGGCCTCATCCCCAAAAATGGGGATCACACGTTTGCATATATTTTACCAGAGTCCAAATTATATGAGATGAGAGTTTAAAACCGTTAGTTCTCTCGATCTCTGCTTTTGCATGCTATGCTGCTAGAGCAACATATAGTTTTCTCCATGTAGTCTACATGTAAAATATTAAAGCTGTTTAAGTGACAGAGTCCATTTAAGGCTTGCAGTGCTAGATAGGCCAATGTGGCGATACTTTACTTTAACAGCCCCCTCTAGTGCTGAAAATATGTAAAAACAAAAAAGTGTATAAAATATAAAAAATAAAAAAAAGAGAGAGAAATGAGATAAAATAAGAGAGAATAGGGGAAAAAAAGAAATATGGTTAGATCAATGTAAGGCTGCAAGAGAACTCTCTTCCAAATAACCTATTTGCTGCCAAAGGAGTGCGAAGACGCTGCTCACTGTATCCCAGCAGCGTAAGGGGTTAATCCAGGGATATTCTAGGGCACCAGTAATATTATGCTTTATGAACAATCTGTCTGGTGTACAGTGTAGATTTTATTTATTTTTAATGGGCATTAAGCCTTTGAGTGCCAGAAGGGGGTGAGTTACCCACTGCGAAGCAATACATTGCTAAAATAAAATAATTCATCCCTGCCAGGAACTCAAAAGTGTTGATCGATCTCTCCTGTTAACCCTTCAATTTCCAGAGAGAGACCCACAGAGCATCTCTCATATCGGAGTCTTGTTACTGTAATAATATTCTCCCCCTCCCGATCCCTCCTATACCCCCAACATGCCCACCTTGCCACTTCCTATTTCTCCATATCTGCTTTATTCAGAGTCTATGGGAGTGAGAGGTTATGTGTCTTTGGTATGTGTGCGTTTATTAGCAGGGGGTGAGAGGTAGGTGTCCTTATGTCTCTGTTTTAGAAGGGGGGGGTGATGCTTACATGTCCCTCTTGTCTTTGTACTAGGCGGGGGTGAGCGGTATGTATTCCTGCTGTCTGTGTACTAGAAAAGGTGGGTGAGAGGTGGGTGATTCTCTGTGTATTAATAGAGCGTGCGAGGTGGTTGGTTTTATATTAGGAGGGGGGTGAAATAAGGGTCTGTTTAGTAGGACGGGGGCGAGAGAGATGTAATGGCAGGGAATGCGATATAAGAAGGGCAAGTGTTTGTAATATGTGAAAGATATGTTATCATGTTGGCAAGGGTTAAAAGGATTCACTGCTGTTAAAGGTGGAGGGGTGATTGCCATCAGTGTCTGTTCTGTGTCTCCACCCTCCTCTTAACATTAGTTTTTGTCAGGTTGTCAGAATTTTTTTTTTTGTTTTGTTTTTTTAAACTTGTGTTTTCCTGCCATTTTCTGTGATTTACAAAAATAAATAAATAATAAAAAATACCCCAAAAAACTGCAAACTGGTTGTTTTCTGATCTCGGCGTACGCATACATTCTCGTCTAAACGTGATTATTGGAGCAGTGAAGATTTATATTGGTAGTCCTATCAGCATAATTGCATTACACCATCGCACAATGAATGATTAATACCATATCCGAAGTCATTGTCCGTCCATTTATCACTGGAGATTTTAATGTGATTTTGCTGCTTAACAACAGGGTAAATTGCAATCCAGCATCCACAACCGATCAATAATGTATTCTGATTTTTTGGGGGGCAAATATCGAGCGTCAATTGTCAAAACGGTCAAAATCCAATATTCACAAATAATTTTTCTACCACTGAAGTCTGAAAAACATTGTAAAACCAGGCTTAACTCATGAGTTGGGTATTAATCTTGTGATGTCAAGTTCAATACGTTGACATTGCAAGATTAATGCCAAAACAAACAAAATAATAAACTCCGGCACCTTTGCAGGGTTTTCGACTACAACACAAGTTGCTGTTTACACAGAGCCAAGTGCATTGATGTGAATCACTGACAGGTGTTCAATTGGCACATTTCCAGTGAATATTGCAGTGTGTGTCTCTGGTGTTCAGATGGATGCCTTAGGTATTTTTAAATTATTTTCATTGTATTTACACTACTTATTGGTCCTTTATTTTTTTTATTTTAGATTTTTATTTTTTGCAGTATGCACTCAAAAAGTATACAGTACGGTTTATAATTGGTTCACAATTGTATCGTTACAGCGGTAATGGTCATAAATGATACAGGAATATACAGTACATTGTAAGTATGCAACCAGAGATGTAACTAGAAATCACGGGGCCCCAGTGCAAAAATTACCCTGGGGCCCCCAATACTTCTTACCCCTCCAGCCCCTCCATTTGTCACATACACGCCCCTCATTGTGACTCATTCACACGCTGACTTTCATGCAGATACACACCATATAACACATACAGATACATACACGGACACATGCAGACACACAAACCAACACAGAGGTACACAAACACACATGCAGATACACAGAATGACACTCCTATAGATACAAACACTGACACAAATAGAGATATACAGACACATACACAAACACTTAAGGACAAACATTCAAATACACAGAAAGACATTCATACAAATACAGACACACACATTCAGATACATAGGGCACCCACTGACATACAGATACGCAGACATACAGATACACACATGCAAAATAGTTTAGTCACCCTCCTGTTTCCTACCTTTTAGGTGCAGGAGGGTGACTTCCACGGGGTCTAGTGGCTCAGACTGATGGGAGTCAGAGTTCCCACTGCCACACGGCGCTCTCTGTAAGCTGGGAGTAGTGACCTGGGATGTCACTTCCACCCAGCATCTGACCTCATCAGAGGGGGTCTGGTCATGGCCGGCAGGCACCCTGGTCACAGTGGTCCACAGGGCGGCTGGGCCCGCTGGAATGACGAGCCTGGTTGCAGCTGCGACCCCTGTGACCGTGGTAGTTCCACCAATGTATGCAACATATAATAGTGAGTATTTGTTAGCAATGTCTATTCCCGATATAGTAGGCAATGTATCCAGTAGGGTAGAAATGGTGACCATAGTAGCCATAATGATCCTAATATGTGGTGGCTGCTGTGAGCCTGGGTGTACATTGTATTGATACTTTGGGGATGAAGTTGAGGAAGATAGGAATTGTAGTGCGTCTGTACGTGTAAATCCTATATTGGTATAGAGATTATGATTCTGTCTCCCTGATTTATGGAGTTTTTATTTGTATTGCCCGGTAAGAGGTATGTTGTGTTTAGTGTCCTCTGACTAGGTTGTCTTGGTACGTTGGGACTGTTTGTCGGTTGTGTGTTATTGAAGTTAGTTTGTATTTCCTATATCTACTTGGTCAATGAGTACATATAGTGTCTGTTGTGTCCTGTGGGTTTGTCATATAGGGGAGCCAGATGCATTGGTACCTGAAGTTGCCTAGGGTGGACCACCTGAGTTCTTCTAATGTACATAAGTGTCCAATTTTGGTGACTAGTGACTTGACTGTGGGGGAGCAGTCGACCTCCACATGCTAGTTATCAACATATTGGCTGCTGTGAGTATAAAGTAAGTAATAGAAGCCTTATAGTCACGGTGTGTTGCATCAGTTTTGTGAAAAAGAAACGTTCTAGTTCTAATCTTGAGCCCACTTCTTCCTGGATCAGAGTCTGGACTTCATCTCATGGAAAGGAAGCAAAACACTATGAATAGTTTGCTTACCTGGAATCTCTGTGCATATCCGGTTCAGCCTCTTTATATATAGTTATATCTATGCAGACATCCTCCTGCAAAGGATGTATCAATTTTATCTCAGTAGTTATCATAATTTGGGATTAAAGGCACACTACAGGCACTATAACCATTTCATCTCAGTGAATTGTTTATAGCACTATAGCATTTAGTGTTAAACCATTTTCAAGCAGTTGATCATTGAATGAAGGTGCCTGGCCCCCACTTGTGGCTAAGACAGTGATTACACACTTCCTTGTAGCCATACCAATTCATATAAACAAAGGGTGCTGTTATTGGCTTAAAGTAGTCAGCTGACCAAGCACAGATCATTGCTGCTCAGACTAATGCTTCCTCACTAGCCCAAGCAACATGGAGGGGATGGGCTGCTGGGTACTCTCGCTTAAACTTAAAACGGTTTAAAGGCGAATGGAAGGACGGGCCACGGGACTCCAGACACAATAACCACGTCAACAAGATGAAGCCGTTAGAGTGCCTACAGTGTCCCTTTAAGGCAGTTGAGATTATTATTGTGTAACTGCTGTACATACACTAGGTTTATAAAGAAGGCATTTTTTTTAAAATAAAGGAAATATGGCAAATGAAGCAAGCTTAAAGTGCATAGTTTTAAATTTAAAAAAAATTACCATATTAAAGAGTAGGCAACCTTCGGAACTCCAGGTGTGGACAAATCTCCCAGAATGCTCTTAAAGCCATAATGATGGCAAAACATTTCGGGAGATGTAGTCCACAACATCTGGAGTGCTGAAGGTTGCTTTTCTATAGGTAAAAAGTGATTGAAATATTTTATACCATGAGTGCCCCATTAAAATTTCTAAAACTGCAGGACTTGCATTGGTGAAATGTTGTAAGGAGGAATACCACTGCCAGACTAGAAAGAGCCATCAAACAGGAGACCATCTTAACCTACAACTTATTTTTTCCTCAGAAAATCTTATATATATGAGACTCTAATAGATGTTGAACTGGTGCCATGATTAAACTCATTAAATAGGAGAAATGTAACTTCTGAATTATATATAAAATAATAGGAAATATAAAAAAAAACAGTTCATTGACAAATAACATGCCCATAGCTTTGGCAGAGAGAAGTGGCTGTTCACATTTTGTGTGTGTGGCTAATTGGGACAAGTTGTGACAAAGTGTCATGGTAACACTAACATGGTTATTTACTTAAAACAGAATTTAAAATTGAAGGTAAAAAAAAAGCAGAACTGGATTAATTTAAGTTAATTATGCTATCAGTTTGGCTATGCTGGCCCTTGAAATTCTAACATTAATAAACTTTGAATTCTCACATTAATAAATAACCATGTGAGTAATTTTTTGATGCTTATGGTCCCAATAATGGTTCACCAACATAAAACGACATACTACAAAATAGTTCACAGGGTAAGGTTTCTAGTGCATGTTTAAAATTCAGAATAGGCGGCTTGGACATCCACAGTCTGTCTCTCCTTTCTGGTCTTAGTAAGGAAGTATTGGTAGAAGTAGACATCTAGAAGCCCTGTCCATGTAGATGCTTACATTAAAGCTGTACAAAGAAGCTTATGTTTACTGATTATGCCATTGTGATAACACATCCCTTTAGGTGTCCAAGACTGGCACCATGATGCCAACACTGCCATCAACACCTTATTACTGGGTATACATGGGTAATGAAGCTTCCACACTGTGTACACGTTTCATTGTCATTCCAATCTAACAGCCTGAAATCTCCCCACTTTATTCCACACTTATGAGGTGCAGAGAACCGGTACAAAGCAGTATCAAATAACACACTGTAAAATACTAAAGATTTTTTTTGCAGCGTACTAAACTGAGTTTGGTATTCACCATCCTTCACCCATTCTGTACTCTGGTTCCCTCCCCATTTTTGTTGAACAGAGCTTAGTATGCAGTCCAAATCTTTGCATTACGATGAGTGTATTCTCATTGTACAAGAAAACATCACTCGTCTGCATTTTGGTGCTTAGTGAGTAGTATTCAATGTGTCACAGGGATCACCGGGTAGAATACTCTTTAGGTTACAATTCTAGGATACAGAAGGGAGGCCTCTTATCACCCCGTGTTCTGCACAAATTGATGAAATATGCAAACTAGTCGCAGAGAACAATATAAACATTTACAGAAACACAAGACAGCTTGGAGAGTGGTTATTATGTTTGCTTATTATGTATAAACCATGGGTCGGAGACTGCACACCAGTCAGGCACAAGTCGAAAGATAAAGAACTTTGGATCCGCAAACAGGTGGGACCAACTAAAAAACAAGGATGTGTGGCAGACCATTAACATACACAACCATATTAACAAAGAGAAGTCTTAGTGAAGAAGCAAATTTGTCAACACTTTAATCCTTGATGTATCAACCAAATCCTTTAATAACACACTGTATGGAATGGTGATCCAAGTCTATGTTGAGTCTCCTGATTGTGTTCCTAAGATGAGTTCATATGTATAGGGAAAAAGAAAAAGTGGAGAAAAGAAAGGGGAAAAAAAAAAAAGTCTATGGTTGATACAGGACATTTAAATTAACACTGCGCAGGGAAATGAAAATATGTAAGCTGTGTTTAATACAGGTTTAATATATTAAGAAAACAAGATCACGATATTTAGATAGATACAGATAATGTTTACAATTTCAAAAGATATAGAAACCCTTACAATAATGAATTCTATTCCCAGCTTGGGTGGTCCACACTTGCCCACAGGGGGCTGTAATACAAAGGGCTGATATAAAAAGAAAGTGCACTTCCACCTGTGTCTTGTGCATACTGGGCCACTGGGGGGAGGGGGGGACAAAAATGCAGTTTCCAGAAGCTGGCCTAAGCCACAATTATGTTGTAAAGCTGATAGTCTCATCAGGTTTGGCTAGTCTCAATTAAAGAGGGAAACGCAGCTTCTTGACAACTGTCACTGATACATGGAATTAAATATGTGCAAATGCTGCGGATAGAAAGGTCCCTGCTGGAACAGTAAAGGTTATATTGAAAGGGGAATGGGAAATTGGCAAGGGAACCCCAATACTGCCCAAAAAGGAGGACATTCCATCTAGAGACTATTAAACTGGTTCCATCTGCAGCTCCTCAACATCCCCCTCCACTTCATGGAAAGACGCGTGGGACCCGATCACCACAAGAGTGGCTCCTGCAGGAAGGTAAGGGAGAGAGAAAATGTAATTGTCTCATTAGACAAGAGATTATGAAAAAGGAAAGAAAGCACTTTTCAGGTTAAGAGAGAACAATGAAGACACAGTCCAAACAGGACTTCATTTAATAAAAAAGTGTCAGAGATTCCCACATAAATTTGCTTACCCAGAACCCAGAAAACCGCTGCTCCAGCACCAGCTAGCCAAAAAAAGGGGAACGATACAGCTCCAGCAATGCCATATTGATTTGCCATACTAAGCTCACGACCTGTAGAGACATTAAATCAGAATTGTCTCACGCAATCGCAAATATTAAAGCGTCATTTCTATGAGAAACTGGATCATTACCTAGTACTTTGTAAATGGACTACCATTTTTAATGGGAACCAGTCAAATTTAGTAGATATAAAAGTTCACATTCCAGTAGGCAATTAATTGACACACTGTTCAGGCACAATTTGTTTTTATTATTATTTTTTGACATGTATCCAATCCTTCATATAAGTGACGCACTTACACCTGTTTTCAACAAATTCCTTATCTTGTAGCCATTTGTAACATGAGACCTCTTGTAGAACAGAAAATCTGACTCACCAAAAAGGACGATCTTAGACTGTAGGGTCTTCAAGTAGATGATGTAACAGGCCCCAAAAAACACAGCTAATGCAATGAGTAACATGGGAGAGGTGATGCTGGGAGAAAACACAAAGCAATAATTGGTAAAAATTTAAACTAATACAGCATTAGATCACAGGGGGAAGATGGAATCCGATTAATAACAACAAGGAGAACACGAGTTAGAGCAGTGTGTATTTGTACTGATACGATATGTGTCTACTGAAACCCACACAGTGTAGTTACACTATTGTATGCAACCCACTGACACACTAACATGTAGTGTAATAACACTCTTCCATAGTTTCATAGTAAAGTAGGCAACAACAAAAAAGACTGAAGTCTATCAAATTCAACCTCACACACACACCTGTTTCCGCTATTGAAGAAGGCGAAAAACTCAAAATAAAGAGATTTCCAAGTTTGACATATATTATGGAATATATTATTTCTTAAAGCTTAACTTCCCAAATACAAAAAAAAAACAATCACAATTTAGTAGATATTCTCTCAATGAAAACATTCATGCATTTAATTACGCATTTTTATTCAATGTGGGTATATCTAAAACAGCTTGCAAAAGCTGCAGATTTATTGTCTGCATCCTTTGGAAGTCCTCCCCTTCTAACCCCGCCAGACTTTCTGTGGCTGTCCAATCATAGACTTCACAATGCTGCTCTATGCCAGACAGGACCTCTGGGAAACTGCTGCCTATGGAGTTTAGCTCCATTGAGCCAAGCAACCAGGAAGTAAAAGTAATGGTAGTCTAATAGGCGCCTCTGGGGGGAGGTAGCAAGAGTGTCAATTTCTATTGAAATCCGTATTTTTTGTAAAAAAAAAAAAAAGACATGTTCAACGCATAAAGAACTTCAGCAATCAGAAGTGCTCTAAGGGTCTGGAGTGTCCCTTTAACCTCAAAATGGTAGATCGATCCTGGATCAACAAGCTGTTTGCTCGCATATCAACTACTATATATTATGTTTTTTCAAAAGAGCATCCACACATTGTTTAAAGATATGCACAGAGTAGGATAAAATCACCTCTTTAGGCAAAGGATTCCACTACATAATTGTTCATATTGTACAAGAACATTTTCCTTTTCAGTAGGTAAGATCTAATTTCTTTAAGCCTAAATCTTTGTACAGTTCTATTAATTAACATGTTACCAGATAGCTGTTTATACCGGCTATATTTATATTTGAGTAACATGATTCTATTCCCTTGAGCCTTGTATTTTTCTAAAGCAACAAGTTCACCTTTTATAGCTTTTTGTTCCCTTTATTAATTTTGTAGTCTGCCTCCACACTTTTTCTAGTATCAAGATATCCGTTTTTAAAACTGATGTTGAGCACTTTACCGCATATTCAAGATGGGGTCTTACTACTGATTTATAAAGAATCAAATTATACTGAAATTACGTGAATTAATAAACCTTATTATGAATGACAATACCTTAATGGCATTGCAACCACTGACTGACAATGCATATTGTTGGCTAGTCTGTTGTGGGATACATCTCTCATAATGCTCTTACTGACATAATGCTGGCAAAGCATCAGAGGACATTTAGTCCACAACATCTGGAGTGCCGGAGGTTGTCTATGCCCATTGTAGGGTATACAGTGCTGGTGGGTTTTTCACCAAACATGAAAGCCACTGACAAACTCATCTGCAATATAGTGAAACTCTTAAGGGCGACACATTGACACACTTACATGCAGTACATGATGAGCCCCATAAAGATAAAGATGTAGTTGCTCTGAAAATGTTCCACATTTCTGGTGACACGCTTACACAGATCCCCAAAGTTCCCTGGGCGAGAAAAGCGCCGCTGGTCAACAAAGTTACTCCACGGGCGGATGTGCGCACGGCGCCGGTCAAACCAGTCCTTTGCTGTGGCTTGGGTGATCATCTTGGGAAGTATTCTGCATAGAGCACAGTGGGAAAAAGGTTAAAAAGCAGGAAGTGAAACCCAGAGAGAGGAAATGTATTTTCTTTTTATATTTTTATTAATTTAAGCACATTAAGTTTGAAACCAGCAAAGCCATGGAGTGCGTGATCTACCAATGCTGCAATAGAAGTAGATTTATGATTATAAAGCAAACATTCCAAACAGCCCAAAAGTAACAGGTAGCAAAGAACCAGCAGCAATAATCAATATTTCATAACAAGCCTAATGCAGACAAAGACTTAATAGTCCTTCATTTTAAGGTGCTGTTAAACCTGCATATAAAAAAACAAAACAAAAAAAAAACATTTATAAATAAATATATCATATCCAACTCAGAAAGAACAGTTTATTGGTTATTTTATTTTTGTCCTTTTCTATTTTCTCTGGGACTGAAAAACTCTAATGTGGAAAATGTGACATTTGGATGGGGTGAAATTTTTTTATAGATAAGTTTAAAACTATAGAATATAGTTGCAGAGTGAAGCACTGCTATATAGGTGGTAAAATAAATAGTACTGCTGACGGTAGATATGTGAATTGAGGAATGCAAGTAAGGATATTGGCTAAAAGGAAATAAAAGATGGAGAGGGGTGCACACAAGACGCAGGCAAGCAATGGAGACCCTGCATGCATCCCAGACAGTTACATTGCATTAGCCCAACAGAATGCACATGTATAGCAAAAATAATATTTCCATTTTTGTCAGGACTTATTTAGCTTTTGCTGAAATGTCACAGGCATAGGAGCAAAAATAAGGAGCACGCGGGCAACCCTAAGCTGCAGGACAAGGTTTGCTGTGGCAAATCCAATTTAGGCTTCAATCACTTGAAATCTTGAGCCTTCATATATGAAACTGGGTGATTTAAACGAAGTGAGAATACACAGTTCGAGCTAGCTATTTTTTGTTGTTGCTTTGCTGTCTAAGGTTGTGTATTTGTCCTGAAGCAGGGGTAGGTAACATTAATCTCCCTTGATGCTTGGCCAACATCAAAGCTGTAAGAGTATTATGGGAGATGTAGTCAACAAAATTGTGAGTTGTCTACCCCTGCCCTAAAGAATATAACATTGTGCGTGCTTGATTAAATTGGATTTTAAAAAAACGTGAATTGTGTAAATAAATGTATGGACAACACAAAACACAAGAGGGAAACAAAATATATGAAAAGGAAATGTTTGCTTTTAGCATTCTTAATTTGATTAATGACATTTTTGCAGCTTCATTCCACCTCCTGATTGTGAGGACATGGAAATGTTCGGGGTGATCGCTAAGCTTGTTCTTAGAGCTGAAAGGTACAAGTGTCTTACTGATCACAAACATTTCCAAACAAATCAGGTGATGGCTCGTTACAGCTCATACTTGTTAATAATCCCACTAGGTCCCTCTTCAGCTGCAGGACTGAATGCGTCCCCGTTCTTCCCTGCCATGACCGGCTATGAGTGCAGTTACTTGGGGTTCCTGTTCCCAATGTCCTTCTGTGAAAGGAGACACACAAACAGGGCTTTAGTACGCAAACACGACTGCCTCCTTGCCAAGTCATTTGCCAGACTCCTCCTCAGCTCAGTTAGACTTAAATCTCCTTTTCTGAATGAGTCACTAACTTGGAAAACCTGTTTAAAGCTCTCCAATTTAGAACATTACAAGAAAGGATGTTTAGTGATCAGTTCTGTAATAAAGTGACTAATTGAATTACCATGCTGCATGTGAGATTACTCTGCCTGAAACACTACCTTATAGATAAACTACAGAACCCCAAGCCTGGTCAGCTTAACGAGAGACACGTGAAGGAGGTGACAATTGCAATTATGGCGATTTACAAGAATCCAGAGCTTCTAAAAATATTACAGTTATCCCACAATGTGTACATGGCTACACATACACATACTCACCCTGCATGTCCATTATGGTGGCTACACTTGCCCTCTATGCATGTACTGCTACTAATACTTCAAAGCTAGTTCCTGGCAGAGAGAGGTGATTAAGAGCCAACTTAACACGTGTAACATCCTTGTTTGTAAATGTGTATTTATTAAACCTAACCAGGTAACGGTGACATTTATCAGTTTTATCAGAAAAATAACCCAGAATACAGGAAATTCACTCACAATTTGGATTCATGATCAGTTTTACCCAGTGAAATGGTTAATAACTCTAAGAAAGATTTCCCTAAACACATATAGATACTGAGACAGCAATTTGTTCTGTTTATTCCAACATAAATAACAGAATGAATGAGGAGAACTAACCTTTAGTTTGTGTCACACGGTTACCCCGATCTAATGTGTCTCACTCCACCCAAACTAGTTAATGATAAAGAACACTATAGGCTTAGAAACACAAACATTTTTCCTTACCCTATAGTGTTAAAAACACAATCTAGCCCCCATGACCTCCCTACATATAGTAAAATCTTACCTTTATTCCAGTCGGCTAGTGCTGACTCTGCATCTGATCTGCCTCCTTGGTTGACATTATCAGAATTCTGATAATCCCAAAGAGGCAGCGTGGGGTGATGGGCCAAACGCTGCCCTGGCCAATCAGCACCTTCTCATAGAGATAAAATGAATCAATGCATCTCTATGAGGAAAATTCAGTGTGCAGAGGGTGGAGACACTGAATGTCAGTCACACTGTGCAGCACTGCCCCGGGAAGCACCTCTAGTAGCCATCTGAGGAGTGGCCACTGGAGGTATCCCTAGGCTGTAATGTAAACATTGGCTTTTCTCTGAAAAAACAGTGTTTACTGCAAAAAGCCTAACGGAATGATTATACTCACCAGAACAATTACATTAAGCTGCAGTTGACTATAGTGTCCCTTTAAGGTGTACACGTAGATGCACAAATAAACCAGCAATAAAAGCACAATAGAAATCACATAATTTCATAGGATTATTTTTCTCAGAAATGGGAAAGGTTTTCCTATTGTATAAAATCCCAGGGTATACTAGATGAGAGATTCAAATGCTTGAAAACAATGTATTTGCTAGTAATGCATGTTTACTTTCCATGTGTACACAGCAAGTGACCTCCAACCCAGTCATGTATCCAAAATGTTCTGTTCCAGGATCTAAACCTCTGAACTTACACTTGGCTGCATGTCAATATTTCATACACAACATGTGTATCTATGTTAGATCATATCACAAGGCTAAGAATAGGACAACAAGGGTAATATGATTCCTTACTTAAAGTATAGCTATTTCAAATGAGGAATCTCAATTAACATTACTTGATCTGGAGTCCGCTATGGCAACCTGAAAATTCACTACGTTTAACAATATTCCAAACCGGCGAGTGAGCATCCTTCATTTCTATAGAAAAAGGATATGTCTATTGGGCAAACTAGATGGGCCGAATGGTTCTTATCTGCCGTCACATTCTATGTCTTTCACAACGCATCATATAATGAAATACTCAATGTTTATATACAGGGTTTTAATCCAAGATGATATTAAAAAGGGTTTCCATTGCCAACAGCAAGCTGCCACTTCACAGGATTTTTAATATTCTATTTGCTGCTAGACATCCTCATTAGCCCACCCATTGGATGACATCAGAGGAGGCAAAGCATGGACTCGGTGCTGAGGGACACTGGCTCTGGAATCGGATAAGTGTTAAAAAAAGAGTTTATTAACTCTTTCCATGTTTGGGGTGGGGGGAAAATCATTTTGTGCTCCCAACATTCAAGATGATAATTTGTCACAAGTGGAACACTACAGGTTGTGATGTGGATGTGGCAGCAAGCTTCACACTTTGACAGGATTTAACAGTAAAGCTGGGTTCTCCAAACTCAAATCTGCAGATGTTGCTCAACTACAACATAATTCTTTGTATATAATAAATAGTCAGAGAATCATGGGAGTTATAGTTCAGCAACATCCAGAGCCGGAAGGCCAGAATTTGGAATACTCCTTGGAATACACTTTGGTTGGCCATGCATGCACAAAAGTTATCTAAGATATCTCTGTGAAGGATTGTTATTTAAACTTAAATGTTAACTGTGGAAAACTCATAGAATGAAAGATTTTAGGCCAAAAACTGAATTTGAAAAATTCTCCAAGTTGGCAATGTTTCCAGTTCAGCTACTTTTCCATAAAATGTTAAATTTGCTTTGAATTCTTGACAATTCATACCTTAGAGCAGGGATAGGCAGCCTTCGCACTCCAGATGTTGTGGACTACATCTCCCCTGATGCTTTGCAAGTATTATGTTTGTAAGAGCACCTGCAGTCCTGAAGGTTGCCTACCTCTGTGTTAGAGAATAACTGTTCATTTTTTATATTAGACTGTTGCATATACTGCAATCATAGCAGAATTACCATAAGGCAGTAATTATAATTTGGAACTTATATAGTATTATACTGTCCACTGTACAAAAGCAATAACATGGTGTTTCTTATATAATACCGATAACATAGCATTCCAAAAAGAATACTTTGCAGTAACATACTTAGGCAAGATACTGTACAATAGAAATAACATATAAAATGGGATACTGTACAATAGTAATAACATACACCATACCACGAACAATTGCATAACCTGTATAACAAATAACCTATACCATTCCATGAGGAAAACTATCTCATAATAACAACATACACCATAGCACAATGTTGGACACTGTATAATAATAACAAATACCATGGTGTACACTGTTTAATAATAACAACATATAGCATGTTGGACATTGTATAATAATACTAATAACAGACACAATGTTAGACACTGTATAATAATACTAACAACATACACAATGTTGGACACTGTATAATAATAATAACAGATACAATGTTAGACACTGTATAATAATAATAACATACACAATGTTGGACACTGTATAATAATAATAATAACAGACACAATGTTAGACACTATATAATAATAACATACACAATGTTGGACACTGTATAATAATAATAATAATAACAGACAATGTTGGACACTGTATAATACTACTAATAACAGACACAATGTTGGACACTGTATAATAATAATAATAATAATAACAGATACAATGTTAGACACTGTATAATAATACCAATAACAGACACAATGTTAGACACTATATAATAATAATAATAACAGACACAATGTTGGACACTATAATAATAATAATAATAATAACAGACACACTGTTAGACACTGTATAATAATAATAACAGACACAATGTTAGACACTATATAATAATAATAATAATAATAACATACACAATGTTGGACACTGTATAATAATAATAATAACAGACACACTGTTAGACACTATATAATAATAATAATAACAGACACACTGTTAGACACTATATAATAATAATAATAATAATAATAATAATAACAGACACACTGTTAGACACTATATAATAATAATAATAATAATAATAATAATAATAACAGACACACTGTTAGACACTATATAATAATACCAATAACAGACACAATGTTAGACACTATATAATAATAATAATAACAGACACAATGTTGGACACTATAATAATAATAATAATAATAATAATAACAGACACACTGTTAGACACTGTATAATAATAATAACAGACACAATGTTAGACACTATATAATAATAATAATAATAATAACATACACAATGTTGGACACTGTATAATAATAATAATAACAGACACACTGTTAGACACTATATAATAATAATAATAACAGACACACTGTTAGACACTATATAATAATAATAATAATAATAATAATAATAATAACAGACACACTGTTAGACACTATATAATAATAATAATAATAATAATAATAATAACAGACACACTGTTAGACACTATATAATAATACCAATAACAGACACAATGTTAGACACTGTATAATAATAATAATAATACCAATAACAGACACAATGTTAGACACTGTATAATAATAATAATAATAATATGCACTATACTTACTGCCCCTGTTAGGTATGAGATCCCTCTAAGAACTTGCCACTTCCTATTCCAGTCACCGGAAGTGATATGGCAGAGACCGGAAGGAGCCTGGAACATACAGCTCTTGCTGCTGGTCCCATAGCAACAACGCCACGTCACTTGCTGCGGAAGAGTTGGGGCTAGGTCGTGACGTCATTTCGCGATGGCTCAAGGGAGTTGTAGTTGCAAGTTGCTCTTCTACGGGAAGCAAACTGTGAGCTGCAATGCCAATGTTTGAACACTAGATGTCACCATGTTCATGGCGCACAGCGTGTGGTGTACTAGGCATTAAATACACAAACACTTTATGGGAAGAGTTTAGTTTATTGTTAATATGCTAATAGCTATACAGACCAGCCCTAATACTGGGAATGCGTGAGCAGGAAAATAACTTCACATGCACAGTTAAGTGATATATAGTTTGATTATATACAAACCTGGTTTATATTTGTTATATTGCATGCTGCTGTGTTTTTCATAGGTCATGAAGTATGTTTGGAGTTTTCAGCAAAATCTCACATTTCATAATAATAATTTTCCTTATTTTTTGATATTATAGGGCAGAATCAGTTAGCAAACATACATACTACTGCTAGTGTGTGTGAGAGTTGTGGGAACTGTTCCAGTGTAATAGTGGTTATGTGTTTCTGTATATGTGTGGTGGGAGTTGTGTGGGTATGTGAATGAATACATGTGTGAGGGAGGTGTGTGAGTGTTTGGGGACTGTATGTGTGATGGGAGGTCTGTGAGTATGGGGACTGTATGTGCGGTAGGAAGTGTGTGAGTATATGGGTAGTGCATGTGGCATGGGAGGTGTCTGAGTGTATGGGGAGTGCATGTGGGATGGGAGGTGTGTTAGTGTAGGGGAACTGTATATATGATGGGAGGTCTATGAGTGTAGGGGGACTGTATGTGTGATGGGAAATGTATGAGTGTATGGAGACTGCGTGTGTGATGGGTGGTGTGTGAGTGTTTGGGGACTGCGTGTGTGATGGGAGGTGTGTGACTGTATGGGGACTGCGTGTGTGAGTGTATGGTGATTGCATGTGTGATTGGAGGTGTGTGAGTGTATGGTGACTGCATGTGTGATGGGAGGTGTGTGAGTTTTTGAGGACTGTATGTGTGATGGGAGGTGTGTGAGTGTATGGGGACTGCATGTGTGATGCAAGGTGTGTGAGTGTATGGGGACTGCATGTGTGATGGGAGGTGAGTGAGTGTATGGTGATTGCATGTGTGATTGGAGGTGTGTGAGTGTATGGGGACTGCGTGGGTGATTGGAGGTGTGTGAGTGTATGGGGACTGCATGTGTGATGGGAGGTGTGTGAGTTTTTGGGGACTGTATGTGTGATGGGAGGTGTGTGAGTGCATGGGGACTGTATGTGTGATGGGAGTTTTGTGAGTGCATGGAGATTGCATGTGTGATGAGAGGTGTATGGTGACTTCGTGTGTGATGGGAGGTGTGTGAGTATATAGGGACTGCAGGTGTGATGAGAGGTGTGTGAGTGTATGGGGATTGCGTGTGTGATGGGAGGTGTGTGAGTATATAGGGACTGCATGTGTGATGGGAGGTGTGTGAGTGTATGGGGACTGCATGTGTGATGGGAGGTGTGTGATGGGAGTTGTGTGAGTGTATGAGGACTGCGTGTGTAGAGGGAGGTGTGTGAGTGTATGGGGATTGCATGTGTGATGGGAGGTGTGTGAGTGTATGGTGACTACATGTGTGATGGGAGGTGTGTGAGTGTATGTGGACTGCACGTGTGATGGGAGGTGTGTGAGTGTATGGGGACTGCATGTGTGATGGGAAGTGTATGGAGACTGCATGTGTGATGGGAGGTGTGTGAGTGTATGAGGATTGCATGTGTGATGGAAGGTGTATGGGGACTGCATGTGTGATGCAAGGTGTGTGAGTGTATGTGGTCTGTATGTCTGATGGGAGGTGTGTGAGTGTATGGGGACTGTATGTGTGATGGGAGGTGTGTGAGTGTATGTGTGATGGGAGTTGTGTGAGTTCATGGAGATTGCATGTGTGATAGGAGGTGTGTGAGTATATGGGGACTGCATGTGTGATGGGAGGTGTGTGAGTGCATGGAGATTGCATGTGTGTTGGGAGGTGTGTGAGTGTATGGGGACTGCATGTGTGATGGGAGGTGAGTGAGGGTATGGTGATTAATATATACAAAAATGAGGGGAAACTGCTGTCTCAACCTAAAAGAAAATTATTAATAAAAAGCCACTGGTCCTACGCGTATCATTCTATCTGGTAGAACTTCCTCAGGGACCTCTCCAGTTAAAAAGTAAATACACATACAAATATGCAGTACACAAAACATTCCCGCTAGGGTATGGTGATTGCATGTGTAATGGGAGGTGTGTGAGTGTATGGGCACTGTATGTGTTATGTGAGGTGTGTGAGTGCATGGAGATTGCGTGTGTGAGTGTATGGGGACTGCGAGTGTGATGGGAGGTGTGTGAGTGTAGGGGGACTGCATGTGTTATGGTAGGTGTGTGTGTATGGGGACTGCGTGTGTGAGTGTATGTGGATTGCATGTGTTATGGGAGGTGTGTGAGTGTAGGAGGACGGTATGGGGACTGCGTGTGTGATGGGAGATGTGTGAGTGTATGTTGACTGCATGTGTTATGGGAGGTGTGTGAGTGTAGGGGGACTGCGTGTGTTATGTGTTACAATCAGAGAAGAGATTTCTCATCTTTCTTCTTCCCCTTACAATACTTCCCCTAACTTCACTCCCTCTGCTGTTCTATGTTCATTCGCACCCGCTACATTGGAAGAGGCTTCTGCTCTGCTCCAGTCCTCCCGCCCCACCACCTGTTCCCTAGATCCAATTCCCTCGCATCTCATCCGTACTATGTCTTCTTTTCTTTTTCCACCTCTCACTAAAATTCTCAATCTCTCTCTCTCCTCTGGTATATTTCCATTGCCCTTCCTGTGTGTCCAACTTGTCTGGTTACAACTACATGTCTGTTCGTCCACTTATTGTAAAGCGCTGCGGAATTTGACGGCGCTCTATAAATATCATAATAATAATAATAATAATAATAATAATGGGAGGTGTGTGTGTGTATGGGGACTGCGTTTGTGATGGGAGGTGTGTGTGTATGTGGACTGCCTGTGTTATGGAAGGTGTGTGAGTGTATGTGGACTCCATATGTTATGGGAGGTATGTCAGTGCATGGAGATTGCATGTGTGATGAGAGTTGTGTGAGTGTATGAGGACTGCGTGTGTGATGGGAGGTGTGTGAGTGTATGGGGACTGCACGTGCGTAAGTGACTGGGAATTAAACCTGGACCCACTTTTCATATACTGTTTTACTCCTGTTGGGGTTATTCACTAAAATATGCAATATGTTGTTAACAAAAATATTCAAAGGCAAAGTTCCTATGGCCTTCAGCAAGGTTTATTTTTTCCTGAAGATCCATTTATGAAATGGTTTCCAAACGAATTTGAAATGCTTCTGAAATAGATGGCTCTTGTTAGCGGAAATATTGCTTAGAAATGAGATAGTGAACATTACTGTGTAATTCATGAAAGAAGTAAGCCAGGAGTTCTAAAATGCACCTAAATTCTTAAAACTTCTTATCGGTTCCTGGTATATCCTGTAACCTGGGTGGGATGAGGCTAGAATCTAGAATGGCTACGACTAATCCTTCATATCATCAGCTACCAGTGTGTGGGTTAGTAAAAAGTATCATGCTGTTTTGCTGTGTACCATTAACCCTCACACTGCTGCATGGTGTGGGGGGAAATGGAGGCGCTCTGCAGACTCATTATGTCATGGATTTTTGAGTGACCTTTACATACTGGTTGCTTCAGTAACCAAATTGTGAATTTTTGCATTTTTCCTGTCATTCTGACCGGCAAAATTGTGGAACCAAAGTTCTTCAATAACGCTCCTCTAAATTCAGTTTTTATTTTGTTTTTGATAAATATCCAAATACCTTTACTCTGTGTATTGGACATCTTTAGGCTGTTTTGTTTAGAGGATCCCATATCCAGTAAATTAATTTGGGGCAGTTTGGGATTTGGACCACAGATTGCCCTTAGTGATAGCTCAGCTTCTAGTTTAATTCGATGGGTGAATGCATGGCCGTCCCACAGTGCTGTTAATTTTTATATACGTCAGGTTTTTTTTCTTTTTTATCTATCTTTTATTTATAATCAGCTAATTCATTTAATGCTTACTTTCCCCATAATTCCATTGTGATATTAAGGGAATTCAAAAGCTCCCTTAAATTAAAAACTTAAAAATCGTGTTTGTCCTAGTTGTATTCTACTCTTGGACCACTGGAGGGCGCCAATTCCTTAATATTCATCTGTATTGATGTATCCCCTTTACTTGTATTTTGGGTATATGTATAGTACTGTTTTTATATCTAATTTCTCCACTTATTGATGGACTGTTCTTGCATATACATGCATAGAGATGTATTTTACAAATAACTCTGAGCCATAATAGTTTTTAGTGATTTAGCTTCCACAATATGTTACAGGATTTACTCCACACACCATGACCACCTCACTGATTTGAAGTGGTCATGGTGCCTGGAGTCTGTATTTGCAATGTTTTACTATGAAACGCTGCACATACAGAGTTTATCCAACTCTGCTGCCAGAGATGTAACCCTGCGGCCACGTCGTTGGAGCGTCATTAGCCAGCCCTGGGCTAAGGTGAATTCTGTGCATATTTTGCATCTGTGCTGTGTGTGTAGGCACCAGACAGACAAGCCCCACCAACACCCATGTCTACCCATCACCCCATCCTACCTGACATCCAGAGAGGGGGAATAACATTAGCCAACGAGACCTCTGCACTGTAAAAGAGGAACGTTTTAGCTATTTCTTTATCTTATTGCCAATACAGCCAGTAGACTGTAGAGCTGAACTTCATTTTATTGAGTGAAGTTTTAATTGTAGAATTCACACAGGAAGCGGGGAGCATCAGAAATGGTTTTCTTTTTTCCTAAAACACTGATTTCTTATCTGCTAACATTATTGTTCTTCATATTTCTAGCTTCAGGTTGGAGTGGAGTTTGAAGGAAGCACTCGCATGCAGGACACTAGTGTTTCCTTTGGTAATCAGTTGGATATTCCCAAGGCAAACCTGCCATTTAAAGGTA